GATATATCTATCTGTTGAAGTCGTTCGACGACGTCTCACCCGCACATATCAACACTTGCCTCAACGGCGCCCTCGGCATGGTCATGGAGTGGAGCAATTCCCGCGAACTGCTCGCCGTGGCTGGGACCCTGCGCACCGGAATGGATGGCCATGGCCTGAAGCCATCGGATGACCCGACCACGCCCGCCAGCTACACGAATCTGGTCAAGTTCTACACGGAGACGGGGGCGTGTCTGTATCAGGCGCATATACCCTGCAACAGTGCCCCGGTGTCGGCCATTACGTGGGGCCACAACGACAAGCGTCTGTTTATTGCCACGGGAACGCAGGTGCACATTGCCTGGGTGTCGCGGCGGGTGGCCTCGCTGCAGTTGCTCTGCCGCCTGGAGATTCAGGCCAGCGTGGGCTCCGAGACGCTGCTGCCACTGCTGCCGTTGCCTTCTAGGATTAAGTCTCTCATTGGCAATCTGTTTGCTCAAACGATACGAGTGAGTGCATCATCTGTTTGCCTCCCTTTCAGTGATTTATGATCTCTGATGCACCTTTTTTGCAGTGCTGTGTACCTGATCTGAAGTCGCTGCGCGATTTTGTGTCGCGTCCACCGCTCTGCTCCACGCGACTCCACTGCACCATGATCCGGCACGACGATGACTCCAATCTGAGCTCCGGCACCTGCTACACGCTCTACCTGGAGTATCTGGGGGGTCTGGTGCCGCTGCTCAAGGGCAAACGCACCTCAAAGATACGCCCGGAGTTCGTCATATTCGATCCACAAGTGAATGGTGAGAGAGAGACCCCCCTGTTTCCGCCTCATTTCTAAACGTTTTCCCTTTTGTTAGATGCTTCTTTGTACTTTCAATACTCCGCGGAGGCCAAGAGCTCGTCGGGCTCCAGTCAGTCCACCACCACGGGCAACAGCGGACGCACCGACTCCTCGGACAGTGACTTCGAGGAGCGATCATCGCGCTTTGGTTCGCCCAGGACGCCGCGCAAGAAGCGAGTGCGTCCCAAGCGTCGCAACCAAGCGGGCGAGCGTGTGGGCACAGCAGGAGGAGGAGGAGCAGCAGCAGGAGGCAATGATCCGGACAGCCTGGACGAGCTGGCCTACGTGGACACACTGCCGGAGGTAAGGGGCATCCAACGTCTACCAGGCACATGCAATCACTGATCCCTCTATCTCTTAAGCAGGAAGTCAAGCTGGTGGAGGTGACCTCCAACATTTGGGGAACGAAATTCAAGATCCATGGACTTGCCAAAACCGTCCCAGCCAATTTAGGCCAAGTAACATATAAGACGTCCCTTCTGCATTTGCAGCCGCGTCAGATGACGCTGGTGATCACCGAGCTACGCGACGATTTTCCACCTGGTCCCGATCCCAGCTTCAATCCCAATATCTTCTCCGAGGACGAAGACGAGCAGCAGCAGCAGCAGCACCAGCAGCACCACCACGAGGCAGTGCCGCAGGTGAATGTGACCACGCCCCAAGATGTGGCGACCGCCCTAAAACCGCCGATGATGCCACAGCGACGCCTGCTGGAGGGTGCCTCTGCCCCACTTATTGCACCCATGTCGCCACGCCCCAATCGAATACTGGCGCGGCACAAGAACTCGCTGACGGTGAACGGGGGAGGAGGCGGGGAACGAGGCTCAAACGCAGGACTCAGTCCGTTGGCGCGGGCCGAGAGCTACGATGATGATTCATCCAATGACTCGCAGGAAGCAGGAGCCGCTGCTGCTGCCGCCGCCTGCCAGTCCACCACCGTGCTGCTGCATCAGGCACCCTCCTCCAATGGCTCGGGGCCCAGCAGCAGCAGCAACGGCAACGGCAGCAGCAGCGGTAGCGGCAAGAATCTAACACGTCCAAAGACCATAAGCAGCTTCAAGAACAGCTACAGCCGCTCCAGCTCCAATTCCAGCTGCCAATCGCGGCACGCCATCTCGCCGCTCTACTGCGACGGGGCGGTGCCCACGCTCCAGTCGCCCAAGAATGCGGTGGCACCCTCGGACATTATTTTCGAGAGGCCTGCAGTGCCGGGCGCCGGGCAGACCACCCTGATGTCCTACTCGAGCAATGCGGACTATGCCAACAATGTGGTCCAGGTGAAGAATGCTCTGATGTCGGAACCCGTGCGTTCAGCCAACAGCCACGTGAACCCCGTGCCCCTCAATCTGAATCTGAATCTGGAGCGCATGGATGCGAGGCAGGTCAAGTGCATGGCGCCGCATGCATCCGCATCCACATCCACATCGAAGCGACGTGATATGCTATACATCGACGAGGAGACCCAGTCCCCGACACCCACCACGAGCAGCAGTAGCATGAAGCGGACGCCCACGGTGGTTTCCATAGCGCCCGCAATGCCCGACTCCATTACGCGCAGCTGCAGCGTTGGCTACCTGGACTCCGTGGCCATCACGCCCTCCGACGAGGCACTGTCCGCCCTGCGCAAGGAGGCGCCCAACAAGCGTCTGGTGCTGGTGGACAAGCGACGCAACCGCCGGAAGCGGCAGCAGCAGGAAGATGCGCGACGGCACAAGCTGCAGCAGACGGGCAAATCCAAGAGCTTGGACTCGTGTGATCTGCTGTCGCTGCAAACGAAACTGTCCAGCAAGGAGCACGAGCTGGTGGTGAAGAAACTCCAGGAGATCTCCGACAGCAGTGCCTGCAGCAGTGCAGCCAACACGCTCTGCTTCAAGTGCCGCAACAACATGAATCCCAGCAGTGCCTGCAAGCGGTGCCAGCCCACGTACAACGCTGTGCTCGACGAGATCACGGCTGTGGTCAGCGTGGAGGCACCCGCGAAAGAGGCTCCGCCTGCCGTACAGCCACTCACAGCCACACAGCCAAAGCCCGCGACCAAGAAACGCTTCGATGTCATCACCAGCTTCACGGACTCTCCGCTCTTCACGCGAAAGCATCGCTTCGGTTACGGGCGCAGCAAAGATGGTGCCGGGACAGAAAACTCCACCCCAGTGTTGGGACGAAAGCAGGATAACACGTTCAGCTTTGTCAAGCAGCTGGCCGAGGTGCGCTGGCGTCGCAAGGAGCCACCGCCACAGGGGCAGGTGAATGGATCCAGCAATGCCAGCACCATGGAGAGGCAGCAGCAGCCAGAAACAACTGGAGCCGCCGCCTGCGGTGCCGTAGAGGCCACGCCCGTGGAAGCCAAGGCATCTGTGTCGCTGCACACCCAGGTAGGAGGACTGCCTCCATCTTTAAGAGTATTTTTTTTTTTACAAATATTATCCTCTTTAGGCTCTTACAACTTTGGAGAACATAATCAGCCGCCTGCGGGATCTGGACGAGGGTCGTTTGACGCCACCGTCGACGCCACAGCGTCTGCCACGCAGCTCTCCGGCCTCGCCGGCGGCCAGCAAGAAGAACAAGCGCCAGCAGAGCAATTCCCCCATACGCCACATCCTCAATTCTCCGCTGCTCAATCGCAGGCAGCGCAAGAAGCCGAGCATCATCGAGAGCTCGGACGATGAGGGAAACCAGACGAACGGCTCTGGCGCAGAGGAGAGCAGCAACAATGGTGGGGGCAATGGCAAGCAGTATCGCGACCTGGAGACATTCCAAAAGGCACAGCTGCGTCAGAAGGTGAGATCAAGAGCCCCCAATCCAAATCCAAATCAACTCTAAGGGAAGTCCTCTTATCCACAGCTGAAGCGCGGCAAGATCGAGCCGAATGGCAGTGCCAGCTGTGCCAATCCGGCACCGGTGCGTCGGGAATTCGTGATGCACAACAAGGCGCCCATGTGGAACGAGATGAGTCAGGTGTATCAGCTGGATTTCGGTGGCCGCGTTACCCAGGAGTCAGCCAAGAACTTCCAAATTGAGTTCCGTGGCAAGCAGGTGAGCACCGCACATTACTTTCCTCAAAAATATGTCATTTAATTCCTGCTCTAATCGCACCATTAGGTCATGCAATTTGGTCGTATCGATGGGAATGCCTACACATTAGACTTCCAGTATCCCTTTTCCGCCCTACAAGCCTTTGCCGTGGCTCTGGCAAATGTAACACAGCGACTAAAGTAATTTCCGAGGCAGGGTCAATGTGAATGTGTGTGTATATCGCAACGTATCGTATCCGTAACAGTATCCGTATCCGTATCCGTATCCTTATTGTGCATTGCATTGCGCTCTACAAAATGTCGCCAGCTGATTGCAGCAGCAGTTGCTTTTTTGGCCTATGCTATACATATATTTTTTATACCAAATGGCAGACGACAGACGACGAAGACGACCGACCGACCGATTAGCGAAAATTTGCCTTTTCATTTTGTATATAATGTATTTATATGATATGATTGTGTGTGTATGGTCTTTAGGTTTCTGAACAGATGCCGTATCGTATTTTTAGTGAGCGTAATGAACACGTACCACCACACCACTGATTGAAGGTTTTGCCATATGCAAAAAACATATGTAGTGCATATGCATAATGGGTGTCACAGTCCGATCCATTTTTGTGCAATATTTGTATGACAAATTTTTTGGATTAAGCGTAGCCGGATAGCCGGAGAAGGTGTAAATTTGTAGCCGTAAACGATGTAATATTTTAAAAATGTAAAACCCAAGCAACTAAAATGAGATCAGAGTCGATTTTTAACACTAGTTTGTACAAGAGCAGCCTTTTTTGCATAGAGCTTCGTTTCTTGCTTTACTCGATTTAAGTGCAATACAAAAATTCCTTTCGTTAACACTCTAATAGACATAAGCCAATATGAATATGAATATGAGGCCCCTGAACGGGGGAGGGGGGGAGACGTAAAAGCGATTACTTAATGCTAGGCCTAGCATACTCGTATTTTTTATATGTGTAAACAAATTGGGAAGTGAATGTTGGAATGGAAAACAAATCTCTGTGCTTTTTCCTCTTACTCTTTTTGGTAGTTAGGCTTAAATTCAAATGAAAATTCGTTATTGTAATTGTTGTGAATATTGAAAATAAGCACCGGAGTCGTAAACGATTTAGGCGATCTACTACATTCATACATACATCATTAAATAAATGTATTTTACGTGAATAAAGGCTTTCGTTTTATAAAAATAACAACATAAATATATCAGATATCGTGTAAACACAACCTAAATATTGCACCATGAAATAAGATATGAAAATATCCCAGCTATATACAGATTCTGCTCGTATCACGTCTTTTTAAATTGCTTCTCCAGTTCGATCTCGGCCTTCTCCCAATCTGGAATGGTTTTCTCCTTGATGTGCCACGAGTCGGTTTTGGGTCCCTTTTCCTCAGCTGCTCAGAGATGTCAAAAGAATAATAAAATATAGAGCTCTTCCGTAGATCAACAAAAACCACTCACAGGTCTTGAATCGCCTCACGCCCTCTTGCATGTCCGTGACCATTTCGGATGTCACATTCATGACTTCATTGTAAGTGCCGGCATAGAAACCGGGACGGTTATAGGCATTCGCATTCTCCAGCACAGCGTTTCGGTCGTGCATCAGCGAACCCATGGGAAATTTGGCAATCGAGAAGGCTAAATTTACGGCCTGACCAAGGGCTGTGCCCGTGGCAACGATTCGATTCACCAGGCCTATGCGCAGCGCCTCACGGGCATAGACACGTCGACCCGTTTCAATGATATCCAGGGCATTCGAGAAGCCCACTGCGGCGGCCAGACGCACTGTGCCGCCATCGCTAATCGGGACGCCCAGGCGTCTATTGAAGAAACCCAGAACAGCTGTGTCTTCCATCACTCGGAGGTCACACAGCAGGGCCAGCTCCAGGCCACCGGCCACACAGAAGCCGCTAATGCCACACACAATGGGTTTGCGTGGATGCCGCCGTGTGGGTCCCACAGAACCCTCATGACGCAACAGAAAGTTCAGGCTGCCTCGATCCGCCTCTGCTTGGAGTTCCTCCAGATCATAGCCGGCACAGAAGGAGCCACCAATGCCGTACAACACGCCCACGGGAGACGTATCATCCGCCTCGAACTGGCTTATGGCTTCGCCCAGTTTTTGTGCAGTAAGTGCATCGATGGAGTTGCGCTTTTGTTCCCGATTCAGGCCGATCAATGTTATATGAGAATCCTTCTCTACGAGCACTGTGGGAGCGTCACCACTGTCCTTGCTTTCTTCCACATGCCTAGCAGCTGTTAAACAAATACTCCTTCTGGCTGAATTTGAACAGTTTACGCGTGGAAACAGTTTATAAACAATTCTAATCATTTCACCGCGAAAACAACTGTGCAGTGTTGGGCAATGTTGAAATTGTCGTCTTCAGAGGCGAAAAGGGTGTGTTGATTGTATGGTTGTGTTTGTGTGGAAAGAAACAGAATCTTAACCCATGGTAGACCAATGGTTATTAAAATGTACTCAGCGAAAGAGATTAAACTTTGAAAAACATCGTGTTTGTTTTTACTTATATGGTAATATATATATATATTATGTAGCCATTCATAATTTTGCTTCAACATTTTTTGTTATATTAAAATGTTCTTTTACATAATATATAAATATTAGTTAAAATTCTTTGATATCTTTTTTATATGCTATTTATATAATATAATTTTGAATATGTAATTTGCTTGTTGTCGGGACATAAGGGTTAAGAATATATCAACAATCCTTCCGCATCAACAAGCAAGCATGTACTGCACTTCCGACGAGACCGCCTTGTATAATTCCATCATGGATAGGATGGATCGTAAATGACATTATAGAAAAAGCATTATTTTCCGCGGCCTAACTCAAGCTGTTCGCCTGCTTAAACAGAGGGGTGTTGAGTGGGCTAAGTTCGTCATACACTTATGATTCATGGTCACACTGGTGGGGAAAAAAAGAAAATACATTTTAAAACTCTGCGCTGCCAATAAACAGATATTTACAAGTAAAAAAATTTACAATTTGTGTGGAAAGTAATCTTTGAACTGCGGCGCGTGTGCCAGCGCATTGCATTCGTGGAGTACACAACCATTTCCAGTGATATAAGCAAAGTACAAAACAGTCGCCGCTTCCTCTTGGACCTCGACTACGCTCACTGAACTCCCGTTTGCAGACAAAGAAAGGATAGGTTAAAACGGTAACCAAACAATCCCATTCCATTTGCGTGAATATGCAATTACTGCGGCGGGGCAAGGACTGCAACAATGGATGGCGGGGTAGGGCATGGGCGTCCACAACAAAAGAACGCGCGAGTGTCGGCAAGCGGCGGCCCGCCCTGCGCCCAGGCGTTGCATGTGGCGTAATGTCTCACTTGAACTTTAATTGAATTGGCATCCGTATTGTGGTTAAATCATGTCAGACCGGAGGCGCCGTCAGACAGTCGCGCCGCCCTGCACGCCCGTCCGCCCACCCTGCATTATTAGATCTTAATTGTGTCTATTTTTATCAGTGCGCGTCTGCCGGTGCGGTGGCTTCCGCGTCACCGCAACATTTGGGCGCACTCGTCTGTCGACGCGCCTCCCCCACGCGCTCCACCCATGCATCATTGGAGGCTCCCGAGGGCCCTGGTTCTGTGTGTTCTCTGGCCTCTGGCGCAGCGCAACTGTTGCCATTTGCTCTGCTCTGGTTGTGTGTTTTCCTCGCTGTTCCCATTATTTTCTATGAGTGGCGCAGTCGAGTGTCGCATCATGATCTATTTTCGTAAATTTTATTTGCAAAAACAAGAGTCTCTCCTCCGAGCAGAAACGAGACTGTCGTTTTATGTTTGTTGTTCTGGCTGTGGGACACACCTTTCGAACGCCCAGCCTTTTGATCACACGGAGATATACGGGTGTATGCCAGGTTGTTAGTCGCGGGTGCAGCAGTTCAGTTCTGTAGACCCTAAAGGCAATTAAAGTATGTATTCAGAAATGTGGTATGTGGTATGTGGTCAGAGCTTGCCACAACAAAGTTTATTGCCTCAAGTAGAACTTAATTAATTGAATTAAGCGCGCACGCATTCATTGGAAAGACATTCTCACATACGAGTGCACACTTATACTCACGTCTTTCTCTGTTCGTTCTCGTACTCTTTTGCCGGTCGCACAGCACACATAGTCACGACTCACGATGTCAACCGGAAGGCCCATAAAATGTGTTGTCGTTGGTGACGGCACCGTCGGAAAGACTTGCATGCTAATCTCCTACACAACAGACAGTTTTCCCGGTGAATATGTGCCTACAGTGTGAGTATATCCGATACTTCTTCCGGTTCCTACTGATTGAGATCATTACTAACTTTTACCATTGTTTAAATGCATAGCTTCGATAATTACTCCGCACCCATGCAAGTGGACACAATACAGGTCTCGCTGGGACTCTGGGATACAGCGGGGCAGGAGGACTACGACCGCCTGCGTCCACTCTCCTACCCACAGACAGATGTTTTCCTGATATGCTACAGCGTGGCGAGTCCCTCGTCATTCGAAAATGTCACCTCGAAATGGTATCCGGAGATAAAGCACCACTGTCCCGACGCGCCCATTATTCTAGTTGGTAAGTTGCCAGCTCATGGCTCATGGCAGCTCTGCCCATTCCCCCAAGAACGAGTTGTATATGTGGCGTATTGTATTGCAGGCACTAAAATCGATTTGCGGGAAGATCGTGAGACGTTGAGTGGCCTGGCCGAACAGGGTCTGACGCCGCTAAAGCGCGAGCAAGGTCAGAAGCTGGCGAATAAAATACGCGCTGTGAAATACATGGAGTGCTCCGCCTTGACGCAGCGCGGCCTTAAGCAAGTAAGTCATCAGAGTGGCGTCGGGCGCACCCACTTACGCACACACGAGCATATGATCTCACTTATCGCTTTTTCCCTTGTGTTGCATTTTAGGTGTTCGAAGAAGCGGTGCGTGCCGTACTCAGACCAGAGCCATTAAAGCGACGTCAGCGAAAGTGTCTAGTTATGTAAATAAGATAGCAGCAAGTTATTTGCTTTGTAACGACCACAAAGAGAGAGAGAATACTCGGAAGCAGTAGCACATACAACACACAGACAGAAAGCACACCTTTTGAGCGCCCTCATCTACCTTAAAGTGAACACGAATCAAAAACAGACAAACAGACGACCAACTCCTTTCATTGAGCACTACTGAGCCACACTCTTTGTTTAAGTTCAAAATTATTTGTATCGTATTATTGTGGAACAGACAGCAAAACGACTCCCTCCCGTAAAACAGCAACAGCAGGAACAGGAAAATCAATCGAATGTATCTAAATCAGCTATAGAAATCTAGTCAATTGAATCGAATGTATTTGAACTAATGGTAACAGGCAGCAGCGCACGAGAAAATTATAATGAATCAAAGCATTGGTTTCGTTTCGCATATCATATCTCCTAATTTCCCCCCCATTAAATGTAATATAATTATCTAGCCAAGAGTTAAAGCAAAAAAGCCCTCTCCTAAAACTAAAGCCCAGGCCAATCCCCGCGTGACGACGACGAGCTCTTAGATAAAGCATCCTTTATACGATATTTAAGCATATTGCATTTTTTTACTCGACAACTCGACCCTCGTCGAACCGTTATCATAATCACGCTTACTTGACGCTCATTTGACACTTCTGTCGCTTGGAAATTGTAACCAACTGTTGTTTTGTTTAAGTATTATTTTATAATTACTTATTTATTATCCTAACTTTAAAGAAGGCAATGTTTAAACAACTTTTACGGCGTAAGGATAGCAAAATGGTTTATGTAAATGGAATGGAAAAACTGCATTTAAATGTGACGACGCGACTCGAACAAAACAGAGGAACAAGAATCAAAAGAATCGAAATAGATCGAATAAACAAAAGCAAACAATTTTCAAAACAAAGAACACTCAAAGATGCGTGAAGATGAGATGAAATCCCAGGACAATTTTTTTACGAAATATATATACATAAACTATATTTAAAATCTAACGAATCGAATGTCTTATGTAAATGAATTGTAAACGAAGGGCGTAAACCTGATTTAATACTTACGAGAAATATATACCTACTGTAATTATTTAAAGAAACAACTCGTCGGACTCTCTGTTTTGTGCTTAACTTTGCCTCTCAGTTTATCGTTTATTTTGTTTATAAATGCCACGGTTCGTTTTGTAGTAGTAACTCGATTTCTAAACAATTAACAGTTTCATAAAATTTGTTCTCAAATTGTATTTTTATAGAAGTGCGTGCCTCGATACTCGTATCAACGTGTGCACAAATCTCGTAGTGCTTGGATGTGGTGTCTCGTCTCGTGCAACATGTGGAGGAGGAGGAGCAGCAGCAGCAGCAGCATCGTATCGGCTACGGCGGCGGCTCAGTATAAGCGGAACGGCTTCTGATGGACTGCCTGGCTGGGCTTCTTCTTGGGACCCGCGCTCTTGGGACGCTTGGGCTCCGAATTGAGCGAGGGCATGGACACAGAGAGCACCAAACACTCGGCTGGCAGGGACATGGACGAGGTCAGTGTGGTGGCGCGTTGAATGCGCGGCGCCTTCCAGTACTGTGGGGGCGGGATGGGAGGATAGAATAGGCAACATTTTAATTCGATTCACACATGGATTCACCGCTGAATGGAAAGCTGAATAGTAGTCGAAAAGTCATAGCTGGATTGAGATGGAAACTTACAATTTGTTTTAATCAAAATTTATTCAAAAACTGTTTGTTGTCTCGATTACCAATGCATCCAATGAGGTAGAGATGTGTGCTCGTGCGTGGCTTTGTTGGAACGCTTGCGGCGTGGGCGTGGGCGTGGCTTTGCCAAATTTACTTAAGATTCTCCAAATATTTTACGAGTATATACGATTGTATTGTATGTCTATCTTAAATGGTGGCTGTTGAGATTTTCAAAAAAACTAAGTGCAAAAACGCCAGAATTTTGGTAAATGAAAAAACGTTTTTTTTGTCGGTTTTATTATGTTTAAATTTTTGCCATTGATCTTACATTTTGTAACAGGGTGTAAATAAATTGTGAGAATGATGCGCTTTACTAATAAGATACAAATTAATAGTAATAATATGCTTATACGTGTTCATTTCTTTTCGGTTCTGTTCGGTTGAAGTTCTCTGTTCTGTTCTGTTTTTGGGTTGGGTTGGGCTGTTCGCAAAAGTATCTAAATCGGATAGGTCATAGGTCTTGTATTATACGAGTACGAATAGTTCAACTGTTTAACATTAAGGGTAGTCGTCAAGTGGGTTTGCGTTTGCGTTTACGTTTACGTTTACTTTTACTTTTAAGTGTCGTTCAACATTTTCAACTAAGCACACACAGTTTACGATTGGATTTCTTGTATAATTCGCTTAAATATTTAGATACTTTTATGTATATATAAATGTATATATATTTGTATGTATATATGGGGTTTTCGTAATACATTGAGATATATAATTTATGTCTTGTATCTGTATGATAAAGAGTGCACTGCTCAACTAGTCAAATATACTCTTGATTCTTGAATACCGCTTCTATGTGATGTGGGTATCTGGTGGTGTGGATGCATCTGTATCTCAGTGCATCAGTTGGAATCGAACCGTATGCTCCGGCTCTCATTACATGTCTGGTTGTGGTGTGATGTGGGTGTGGAAATTATTGCATATTTTGCATCGATTTTGCCAATGTGTGCAGGCATTTTTGTTTGCTTAAGATATACTTTTCAAATTAGCGCTTGTTCAATATTCAATGTTCAATGTTCGGTTTGGATTGGTTTCATTCCTATATTGCAAAGAAAAGATTCAGCTCAACCTCAACATGCATTTTCGGCACTTAGCATTTAGCTTTGTTGATTTAAATTCTCATCAGCGCCAGAAGCCGTCATGGATGGTAGTGGACTCTGCGTTCAAGATAAAAATATAAATGTGAATGCATATATAATTGCACAAATCATAAAAGGGGGAAACTATTACAAACATAAACCAAAAGCCTTGTTAGATCATGAACATGGAGCGTGGATAGAAAGGGTGGAGTCGGGGAGTTCGGGCCCTGGGCACTGGGCTCTGGGCTCTGGGCCGCTGGTCAAGCAAATTTGCACATGAAACCGTTTTGGGGTGAATGGATGGATGGCAAATCAGATTTGATTCTGGTACTAACGGATCGGTTAGTCTATCACAGCACTGTTAAATATATTTATAGGCAATATCATCTATCTATGCAGCGGACACATCTCAGGGTAGAACACGCAACGCACATTCACTTACGGAGGATGCTCTTTGATCGATGATCGAATGTTTCTATATTGCTTAAAACCGCTTCGTATTCTGAGAGTATACTCTTAAAGTAGTAGTACGATTGTAGCAGTGGATGATAAATAACTCTAATGGACGTAACATGTATACGGATTTCGAATTAATGCACTTAGTTTCGTATGGACTAGCCTAATAAAATTGGTATATATATTCCTATAATAAACGAAAGAGAAACATTAAGCCACAGAAATGAAGAAACACACTTAACAATTCATAATTAATTGGAATTCAAAGATGATGTAAGTGTATGTATATGTGTATGCAATGTGTATGGGTGTGTGTGTGTGTATGTTGTATTTGTATCTGTGTGTGAGCAAAGCACTTTCTTTGTTAGATGATTTTAAATGCTGGGCAGCCTTTTCAAAACCGTCCTTAAGGTCAGAGTCTCTGGGGTTTCTGGGGGGTTCTTTGAGCATTTGCGGATCAGTAAAAATATTGTTTAAAATTTGTACTATCCTATATAGTATAAAATTGCTGGCCATTTTGCCATAAATAATACTTTGTGTTAAGGGATATACTCTATATAATACTAAAGGAATTAACAAACATTCTCTCTCTCAGCCCTCTCAGACCCAGGGGCGGCACCCGAAAGCAGGTGGTTTTCTTTTGGTTAAAATTCAATTATCGGATCGGTAAAGCCACCATCTGCCGTGTATCCGCCCCTGGGAGAGAATCAGCTTATATGTATCATCATCTAAGTATACACGTTCCATGGGGATAGTATAGTGTAGCCTCAACCGATGGATAGTGTATAGTTATCGGGGCTTTAGTATACAATTTAAAATAGAAACTCTTGCAAACTCATTCGAGATTTTTCTTAGTTGAGTGTTGAACTGAGTTGAGGTTTCGTTTGAGTAGTTCTGTGTTTTAGTCCTGCAACAGTTACTGGTGTTTGGCCTTAGGTACAGTACGAGTAGTTAATGGATGTCTTATTGTTCGGTTCGTTTCGTATCGTTTGGTTGTTAAAGCTAGTACTATAGGGAGTTGTTCATTTAAAAAGCGACTCGAATATATTGTTACACACACAGTCTGAGTTACAGAGGCCGAATTCTAGATGGATCGTTGCAATCAAGCGCCCTTGCGCCTCAAACTACGGTTAGCCGGCGGGTGGGTAGGCAGAGGGCGCAAACGGAGGGGGAGAGACAGAGAAAGAAAGAGAAGAGAATAGTTTAGAGAAATGCGGTGGTTTTTGTTTTTGAGAATTCTGGAATGCACCAGCGGCATGTGGAACGCTTTTTGCTAGCAAATTTTGTCATCGATTTGATCGCCAATGAATCTCAGTTTGAGTTTGAAAGAAATTCATTTTTAAATGTACATAAATATAAATGAAAGTATGGAAAATCATCGAAACTAAATGAAGATTTACACAAAACTCAAAACAGAAGAAAAGCCCACCCATACTTCGAGACCTGAAAGTGCCAAGAATTACGAGTACTCAGAAGTCCAGATGTTAGTTCTCATTAATTATTGATTATTGATTTGTACAGTTGCGGAATGGTTTGATCTTTTCTTGGGAGGAGTTCTCTGAAAGCGGTTGTGGGTGTGTTGGGAGGTGTAGGTGTTCTGGTTGGTGGGTTTTTTCGGGTGCTGTGGGGTGCTTGGTTATCGGCTGACAGTAAAAATGATAGCTGTAAACCACAAATGCAACCGAATACAAATATAGATTACACAAAAATGAATTTCTTAAAGTAAACACAAAATGGGACTATATCCATAATTTATAGAGTACGCTTTTGTTGAATACTTTGTTAGTGGAGTGCCTTAACGAGAAACTAAAAATTCAATGGGAATAAATCAGGGTAAAGGTTCAGTTGAAATACTAAAGGTTAAAGGTTAAACGTTAGGAGGTCTCTCTAGTCTAGGTCTAGTTACTGAATTGATTACTGAACGGATGGATGGCTTATGTACACGTAGTTTACCTGTGTTGGTGGTGTTGTCAGTGCAGCAGAGTGCTCAACATTTTTCAAATAATCCTTATCATCGAAAATCTTCTTCTCGCCGCCACCGGGCCTGTGCTTTACATTATCCCAAGAGCCAACTTTGCTTTGTGCCTTAATTTCTATCTTTTGCGTTTGTATCTGAAAGGGTAGCACCGGCACCGGCAACGTACAGAAATTGATTAGCAAAAACACACTTGAAATTCGACTTGGATTGCATTTGGATGCATTTCATCTATGGGGCGGGGTATGGAGAATTTCGTTTTCTGCGGTTGGATTATATGTATGTATTATGGGGCACACGACAACACAACACGAATCGGGGGGTAGCCAATCGAGGACACAACTGAAATTTAGAACTTTCAAACACAGAAACAGCAGAGCACAGAACGGAAACAAAGTCACAAAAAACATATGCTACGATTTCTACTTGGGGGTATTTTGGGGGTGCCTTGAGGATCTCAAAAAGACGGTGGGTTAAGTGTTCAAAAAATACCAAAAATTATGGACAAATTATGCATCCAAACGTTTCATACAAAAGCACACATACATACATATGTATCATATACGTAGTATGATGCACACAAAGGACAGATAGAATAAAGAGTGTAATCACGACTACTTACTTCCTTGGGTTGGTTATCCTTCAATACGGTTGTTAAATGGTTTAGTTAAAAGCAAAATACAGTTTTCAAAAATATGTTTTAAATATGTATGTTTTCGGTTCGTTAAAATCAATGTGAACGAAATAATAAGATACAGTCAATTCGAAGTTCTTGGTTAGGAACTAAAAACAGAACGCTGTCCCTGGCATTCTGGACGTAACCCAAATCGGAACGGAACTGTTTAATCAATGCGGGTCTATGCTATGTGGGTGTATTGTGTGTTTAGCACCGAGTGTCTGGCTCACAGGTGGTGTCGCCTACTGTTACCTACCCAAGCTCAGGGAGGAGAACTACAACTCCTCCTCGTTATACAAATTCTCATCCAGGCGCTCGCTGCTCATCTGGCAGGCGCGTTGGTTGACAATTTTGGAGCCCTCGCCATAGATGATGTTTATCTTTCTATCGTGGGACATTCTGTTCGAGTGGCTCTGGAAAGTGTTTCAGACTTTTGTACATTGTTAACTCCGAAATGTATGTTTGTATGTTTGTAGGTGTGTAGGTGTGGAGGGGGTGTTAGTGGATCTGTTCTTGTGTACACCGAAAACTTGGAAGAAGATTTGAAGAACAATTGCAGCATGCTGTTTTTAAAACTAAGAGAACTTTCCCCATGCATCTTTCCCACATGCCCACCTGCCCCGTCATGCCGCATGCCAGTTGCTGTTTGCTGTTGCTGTTTTGCTGTGGATTGAAGGAGCAACTGCATGCGTTGCCAGGACAGAAAAAATCGGTAACAAAACGAGAGAAGAGCATCCAAAAAACCAAGCAATCGGAAATCATACTTAACCGCTACAAAAATCAATAGGAGAATTCGTTCGCGTCTCTGGGTCAAACTCAAATGTGAAAAATCTGAAGGTTCTAGGAGCGGGACACATACCTTGATATCACCGCCGCCTGGCTGATATTTCACGTTGTCCTTGGAGCCGACCTTCGGCTTGGCCTTGTCCTTGAAGTCCATCTTCAGGGTCTCGATCTTCTTATCGCCGCCGCCGGGCTTGTAGGCCGCGTTATCCAACGAGCCGATTTTCGACTTTGCGTTCCACTGCAACTTTGTTGTAACTATCTACGGATTTGCGGTGGTTTTGTGGTGCGAGGTGGTGGTGGTGGTGGCGTGGTTGTGAGTTGTAAATAGATACAAGGTAGAACCATTATAAGCCAAAGTCAATTTACGCAAAAAGTATCGATCGAACAGAGATATCCCATCCAACGCCCAATTGCAGCCCGCTGTCAATGTCAGAGTCGCGCCCAGCTCTGGAACACCGAATGCGGATGGTTGTATATGCATATGGCTATGGGTATGGGTATGGATATGGATATGGGTATGCTCCAAAAAGGCAACGGAATTATGTTGCTAAGTGTCGCTGTGGATTGGTAATTGCATTTCCTACAACAAGATACAAGATACAAGATACCGGTGGTGCTGCCGATTCCCATCTAAATGGGGAATCGAGTAAGTATATGTATGTTCTCAAATCGCAAATCGAGCGTGAAATTGAATTTTTGTTTGCCAATACTTTTTACTTTACGTTTTACCGTTTACTGTTTACTGTACTATACTTTACGTTTCTTTGGCTAGATCTAGATTGATTCAGATCGTTCAGTACTTTAAAAGCCATTTGTTGATGAGAGAAATTTACAGAGGATTATGAGGATACACCAGTCTGGTACACACGGTCCCTCCCTGTGGTTCAGTCCGTGTCCAGCCCCCTCAACATACCTTCTTCTCGCCGCCCTTGGGCATGTACTTGTCGTTCTTGGCCTCGATGCGGGGCGCTGCCTTGATTTCGACCTTCTTGGACTCGATCTTCACATGGCCGCCGCCCGGCTTGTAGGTGGCATTGTCCAGGGAACCGATCTTGGAACGTACCGCCTTCAGGTTCGGCGAAGGAGCATGTCCAACCTGTACTTTGTTCATTGGAACTGCGACCAGGGGTCGGTTGAAAATCATTCGAAGTCGGGATGAGAGGAGGGACTTACCTTTCTTTACTGGCTCGGGTTCTGGGGTCTTGAGTAGCAAGCGATTCTTCGAGGCACTGCGCGACTTCGATGCGGATTTGTTCGAGGGCGTAGCACTCGGTGGACGCGAAATGCCCGACTTGTCAGCCTTCGATGAGGTCGATGTGGGCGTCTTGACCGGGGAACTGGGTGAAATGGGTCCGTTGCGGTCCTATCACGATACAACCACAGAATCATAGTCACAATACGGCAACATTTCAACTGAAATTTCGTTGTTGATTACAAGAAAATATTTCGAATCGGCCAAGATGACGAGATGCATCTTGGGATTCACCCGGATGGGTACTCGGACTGGCACTCTGACTAGGTTCATCTCTTATTTACGACTCTCTCTGCTCTCTGCTGTCACAATACACTCCCAGGCTGGCCAAAGCTGTCAACGTAATGCCATTGGCATTTATGACTAGACTCTGGAAACAGGCCTGCCCGCTGCCTGCTGCTTGGCTGCCTGCTGCCTGGTGATGCCGATGCCCGATGCCGATGCCATTGTGGATGTCGATGTCGGTACGAAGGACTTATAGTTTATGCATTGTTTTATCGATTGTCGCCACTTCGTGTCGTTTTTGCATATGTCTTGATATTTATAGAGACAACAAGCCCCACCACAGCCCCGATACGGAGTACGAAATACGGAATACCTATAAATATTTGTGTGTGCGGCAGGGCCCCAATCCGCGTTTCGTGTTTGGCACTTATCTACCGCACAAGGCACAGACACAAGACACAGGCACAGGGCACAGATATCACCAGGCATTTACTCGTAAATCGGTTTTTGGTGTTTTCTTTTTGGTTTTCTTTTTGGCAATAGTATTGCCCTTCCCCCTCCTTTGGGGCGTCTTCTGCCTCGCACCTGTGTGTGGTTCACGTTCGAGTTGGTGGCACGAATATATGACTTTGTTGTCGCACTTTTCTTGCGGGTTTTTCCGGCGCGTCGAACTGCCGTCTGCCAAGACAAAACTTAGTCTGAACTTTGGCGTCAACACACGAGCCAACTTTCGGATCTTGGATACTTGGGAGCCATCCACTCAACTGTGGCCCCGCCAGAAGTCGGGCACAGTACTATATGGTATCTAATGGAGCGTGGAGCTTGAACCGTTGAGCAGGGGGCCTGCCTTTTACAGATATTTATGATTTGTGAACAGACAGCCAGACAGACCAGAAAGAGAGGGTCAACGTCTATGGAATTAAATTAATTTGTCGCCAGTTTCCAGTTAATTTCCTCTCAATTAATGGAGACGCAACCAACTCGCATTTATGGCCAAATGGCCAACTAGTTCACCGACGACGACGACAACTCACCTTCTCCTGTGTGGACTCATCCACGCCGCTGTCATTGTCGCCTTCTGCAATGATAATAAATAAATTAGTCGAGTTATGCTAATGTTACGATATGGGGACTTCCGCTGAAATAATAAACTGGCAAATGGCTTCACTTAATGGGGGGTGGGAGCTTGTTCCCACTCGATCTTACTAAGAGCAGGCCCCTTTCCCTTCCTCTGGGCCTCTGCTGGTGCTGATGGTCGACTCGTCTCGAAGGGTGGCTCTGTGTCCTCCAGCAGGGGCGAGCCCATCGGATCGGCCTTCATGTTGAACGTCTTGAGGGGAGTCACGGCCGGACCCATGATCACGTCATCGTCGTCGTCATTGTGTGCCCCCATTGACGATGGTGGGCGTAGCTGTGGCGGTGGCTGAGGCTGAGGCTGTGGTTGCTGCTGAATGTGTGGCTGCTGTTGCTGCTGCTGCTGCTGCTGTGGTGGGGCCTGTTGATGTGGGGGCTGCTGCTGCAGCTGTTGCATGGGCTGCTGATTGAAGGTCGGTCGGAATGGCGCCTGCAGCGGCTGGCCCGGTGCCGGGCGAGCAAATGTCGGCGGAGGAGGTCGCGTCATATTCTGCGGAGGGCGTGCACCGGGCGGCATGCCAGGTGGCGCGCCAGATGGCGTCCAGGGGAACCCGCCGGGCGGCCGTGGAGGTCCCTGTCCGGGCGGCGAAAGAGGTCCTCCTGCATTGGGCGGACGTGGCTGCTGCAGACTCAGCTGTGGCGGCATTCCCGGCCTCATCTGCGGCGGACCCATTATCAGATTGCTCTTGCTTTCTGTGTTCCTCAGCGGCGGTGGCATCTGCCTGGCCCCCATATTTGGCGGTGGCATGGGTGGGCGTGGTCCCATTCCGACCATCGGCCGGGCTCCCGGAAAGGGGGGACGCTGCTGCGGCGGCCCCACAGGTGGACGCATCTGCGGTGGCAAGACATAGTTCTGTGGTTTTCGCACGTACTCTGTATTATGCTTGGGTGTTGGGGGTTGGGGCTGGGGCTGTGGCTGTTGCTGGGGATTGCTGTGCGGAAGGGTGCGTTCTTTAGCGGTGCCAAAGCTGGTGGGATAGTCAATCGTGCTCTGTGGACGCTGCTGCTGCTGCCTGGAGTAGTCCGCGGTGGCTGCGTCATAAGCCGAACGTTCCATGAAAGAGTACTCTGAATTCGACTGCGGACGCATCTGCTGCTTGGAGCGGTCATAATCTGCGTTTGAGGTCTCGTAGGATGAACGATCCATGCCTCCACTGCTGGAGGAGTACTCCGCATTCGTCTGAGGACGCAGCTGCTGCCTAGAGCGATCTATAGAGGCTGGCTCTGCAGAGGCAGTCTCGTAGGACGAGCGATCCATGGCTCTGGAGGAGCGCTCTGCATACTCCTGGGGCGTTGTCTCGCTCACAGGACGCTCCTGGGATCTCTCGTTTGCCGTGCCGTACATCTTCGAACTTCTCGCCTGCGGTGTCGGTGCAGAAATGTGCAAGTGTCGGGTAACCCAATACCTGGCAGGTCTCTAGTTTCCAACCTGGCGGCCACTGCCACTGCCAGCAGCAGCAGCAGCACCAGCACCAAGTGGCTCATATCATTTGCATATGTATGGCCATATATCCTACGTGGGCGACAGTTGCGGGTGGGAGTGCAAGGACTACTAGCTACAGGATACAGTACTGGTGCTACATGTGCATGTACTCGTTTCGCCGCAGGGACCCATCAATATATTCCGTATTGAGTGGAGCCTTTCAAATTTGATGGCTTCTTTTTGCATTTGTTTACATTTTACGAGTATTGTTTTGGTGTCCTGGTGGGCTTTCAGGGTTCGGTTCGGTTTGGTTCGGTTCGGTTACCAATAGGGAATTTTGTCATGAATATGTCGGTTGCCAGCTGTAACGTGACCCAAATTGTTTTTGTGGCTTATTGATTCAACAAAAGTTTCGGCAGTTCTAAGCCCCCCCTGCCCCACGAAAATGGGTCGGCGGGGCAGCCAGACCACGAAAACGAGAGCAAATCGCTGTTTGATTTGTTTCGCAAAGGGTTCTTTCTCTGGCTCTGACATGTCTGGCCCCCAGAATGATGTATGCAAGGTCGCCCGAATTCGCGTATTGCCATCATTAATATCCCAGTTGTATTCAAATTATGCTCCCTGGCAGGCGAATCAGTCGGTTGTGCATAGGCAATTGGGTGATATTTCATTGCTACGACTAGCTGGGATTTAAGTGCAGTTTGTAGATATTACGACTTTCACTCACCGCATCGGTATCACTCATATCGGGAGGAATGCTCGGGCCGGGGCTATGGCTGGGACTGGGACTGGGACTGGGGTCTGGTTCTAGGCACTACCTGGCAATTAACTTTATAAAGAACCGAGAACTTTTGCATTTAGTTTTTGGGGGTTTTCTGTGTTTTTTGTGTGTTACATTTGACAGGTAAATCGATAAAATTGCACAAACAAACAGCAACGATTTAAGCTGCTGACTCTTGGACCTCCATGGAGCAGCACGTGCAACAACCGAGTGGCAACTAAAGCGGCAGCTCCGACTTGTGTCGAGTCAGAGCCCAGATTCGAGCCCAACTTCCTGGCCATACAATATACTCAAACAATGGAAATGGAATGAAATGAAATAAAGAAGGAAGTCTTTGCAAGTCAACTGCAAATTAGGGCCGCAATGATTTGTTTCTCTTGGCTGACATCGACTCGACTCGACTCGACTGAAATTCCACACAATGTTCATGTCAACCGCAACAACAACGGCAAGAACTGTCATTTGTGGCCAAATGGTCTTGTCCAAATTGATTATCAGCGGGGCAGGAATGCCAACTGCAGCACATAAAAAACAAAACTTGTGCCCTCTCTATTTAGGTTTTCTAAGCATGCCTGCCACCTTTCAATTAGATCCTTCGCCGGGAAAATATTGTTAACAAACTTTGCCTGCTGGCAATTGAATTTTTGTGCTGGAAAGTTGTTCCGTTCCCACACTGCAGTTGCGATTTTTATCACAGACAGGACGGATACGTCTACGTACAGGGACACGGACACGGACGCGGACACGGACACGGACCCATTATCAATTGTTGCGGTTCGCCATAAACCAAGAGCCATGCAATTGTATCGATTTTTCTAGCCAGAGGGCAATAACTTGGCCACGTACTCGCACTACAGGCCTACAGGGAAGTGAGGCTAATGCACTTTGCACTTTGCGCCCACCGCAAGGATGGATACGATACCCACCCAACGGACCAGGTGCAGTTGTTCCAAGACGACACTGACTTTAACCTGAGCTCGCAAGTTGATTTGTTATTAATTTGTGTTTATTTATAGTTTTTTTCTATAATTTATTTAGATGTTTATTTAGTTGGGTATCGCTGTGGAAAATATCGCGTCGCGGTAGCCAGCTCTGGCGGCGTTGTGTTTGGCGCGAGTGTTAAAACTCGACTGCTTTTATTTGCTTTGAAAAATTTCGAATTACAATACTTAGAATTTGTTTTGATACGGGTATATGGTATGCCCCAATGCTGGAGCCCCTCTCTATCTCTCTCTCTCTCTCTTTGCTCGTAAATTCCTTGGGGCGGCGCATAAACAGAAAGTGTCCTTGCGCAGTTCAAAGAGAAGGCAATCGCAAATACCTTAGCAAAGTCAGAGCAAAACTAGAGCCAGGACGTGCTCAGACGACGCCTTTGCCTTATTCGATTGACATAGAAATTTATTTATTAGTGGGGCGCCGGGGAAAAATGCAAATTCAACACGCCAACAATGAGCACGGGGGGCGACAGGGACAGGGACAGGACCTGGAGCAGTACTCCTCGTAGTAAAGGCAGCGTTGATTTTATATGGAGATTTCATTTGACTTGATTAATTTAATGGCTCCTACCGGGAGCGGAGCGCATTTGTGCAATGCTCAGCAAACGACAATCAAATGCAAAGTACGAAGAAATATATAAAGAATCAGGGCTGGCTATATTTGTTTCTTGTACTGTATATGGGGGAGCTACAGGCACGCACCACATAGTATTTATTGCGAGGTGTTGTTGTCATAGGTTCCACGGTTCCCCCTTTAATTGTTGACTATTTAGCGGCAGACAGCACGCAAAGCAACGCAACGCGAGATTCCCCCGCGCACTGCTCCCACTCCCATGTCTGCCCTAGTGGGGATAACTGTTCCTCCCTCTGTTCTTTGCCTGCTAATTCGATTGTCAAGGTTATGTGTTGGCAGACACAAACCAGAAAAGTGTTTACTTTTGCTTAGGTTGGGCTATGCTTAGGTACTGGGGGTAGTGGGTAGAATAGGGTTGATGTTGATGCATGCACATACGAGTACCCTTATATACAGATTTAGTCGAATAAGTAGTTCTGCAGTTGCTGCTTTGGCCTAATTAATTTAAATATAGACATAACATACCATTGAGTGAAGCCATTTCAAGTAATTAATTGTACAATATATTCCAGATATCTGCGTACGAGTACATACCTGAAATATTAAGAGATATTTATATATTATTAAGGTGTTTGCTGATTGTGATACATTGCATATTTGAAATGGAATTAATTATTGAGAATATATACAGATATAATTATAATATAGAACTGTGGGATAAATCTACAAGTTTAAACGTAAATCTGAGCTAAATCTAAGAGCGGGCGGATCTCTTCCCCACGACTCGCGCGCTACTTTTGAAATGTTCATGTATTTTCCAGTACTGATTTTTTTTGCCCTAATAGCATTTAACGTCTATACGCCACCAACGGGTGGTAATGGAACACAGTGATGGGCTCAGTGGCGCCCCAGACGGACATCGGCGAAAGTTGGTGCCACTTGATGTGCAGTAGTAAAACGGCACCACGTCTTCCCTTCGCTAGATGGCGCGTTGGTTCCAGCCGCACACTCGATATTTATTCGATAAGAAAGTTCGATAATTTGATAATTTCGCCTGTAGGCGCGAAGTTCAAATATGTATTTTCTGTCCTATTTGGTGGATGTGTGTAACAGCCAGCATCAATAGCCTGGTCTCTACGTTCGTCCACCTAGGACGCCCAGTTCTCAGAGACTATAACAGCTAGAGAAATTACAATTTGTGTGCGGACTCCTGTGATATCACACTGAATGAGGTTTACACAAAAGGGCGAAAATCTGTATCCACAATTTTAAAGAAAACCGTAAAGGCAGAATAATTTAGAATTACCATCTCTACCAGAATACCGAAGTTGAATCAGAATGTATCGTTATGTTACTAGAGTGAAATTAAATAGAATTAGCAGAAACAACCCCCAGCTAAGTTTCGTTGTAGATTAAGTAAAATTTAAAGAGAGATAGGATTTAGAGACCAGACCCGCACGCAAACCAAGGCCGCCGACTGCTTGAACAAGGGGTGGTTCTGTTGCCACCCCCATTTGATTTGTTTTTGTTACAGTTGTCTTTGAAGCTCTTCTTGCGTTGTTTTGCTTTTTTTGAGGGATGCAGCCGGTACGTTGAGCGTGTATCCATCGGCATGCCCTCTTTTTGGTTGGCTTCCCCCCGCGCCGGTCAATTCTGTGTGCACTCATTGATTATTCTGTCCAACATTCCTCTGCGGCTGCGGGGGAGGAATTCCTCAAGCCTGCCTCGAACTGCGCATGTTTAAGGCAGACGCGACTCCTGGTTCTGCGACGCAAAAGATGAATCAGAGCCCAGGTCCAACAGGGCGCTCTGCTGTGGCAGGGAAACCCGAATGGAGCCAGAAGCAGCTCATCAATTAATCAACACCTGAATTATTGCTTTATTGACTAGGACTAGGACTAGGGACTAGACCCATCCTAGAAGGCTCCTCCGCCTCGTGTCGAATATGGTTAGGTGTATTTATAGTCTGGGCGATTGGGTAACGTAGCTGTCTAACATTTGTATCTTTGACGCACTTCGATTATTGATTGCTTCCACAAAATGTCAGTGTGAGTGGTGCCGCACGCACTCGTCGGGGCACCGAAACGGGCGATGCCGCCGACGAATATGGCCCGGCTACAACCAGAACAACAAATTATGCGGCGTCTGCCAAAAGTGGTATTAGCCACTAGGATTGGGATTGGGTAACCACCTTACCACCTAACCACTCAACCACCGAAGCACCACCGAAGAGCGAACATCGCATATCGAACAGCGGGTCGGAATTGGAAGACTACCCATCTACTTACGAGTTCCATCAGGCGAAAGTGCACATATGCAATGGCCATAAAATTGAGGAGGAAAATCGAAATCAAAGCAGGTCTTCCAGGCTGGCCGAGTTTATTGAACTGGAATTGGAAGTGGCAGCTCTCCCGGCGGCCTGGCTCTGGCTCTGGCTCGGGCCGAAGCCATTTGACAACTCTTTTGTGGCTTTAATTAAAGGGCAACACGGACCCGGGGATTCGCGTGTCAAGCGACACTTTGTATGTGGGGAGGGGGGGGAAACAATTAAACAAACACCGTACCAACAGCACGATGGCTCTGCTGGCTCGGCAGCACCCACCCCAAGAGACTTGAAAGGATCCTTCAGGGTTTTTATTAATTTTTGCTACACATTTTATTGATCAAACTTTTCAATTTATAATTAATTAATCAAGACCGGGGAGCATGGCGCATTCCTCGCATTAAACTTGGAGATGCATCCATCAGATACAAAATGCACATTAATATGCCGGAGGCCCAGGGACAGTAACAGCTTAATAAACGTTCTTGGGGCGCCATGTGCATGCTAATGTGGAACCCAACCGATCAGATCCATAGCATTTTTAGGTTGAAAATCCATTAGCAAACCATTTGTTCGTAAAAACCATATATGGGGGGCGGGGCCCAAGCGTATCCCAGTGTCCCAAAATCTTTGTCTTGCTTCATTGGTCTGCACAGCAAGGCGTGGCCTTCATCCCAAATATGGCACCAAACATTTTGGTAATTGTTTCATTCACGTTTTTTGACAAGCACAAAACGGAAGCCTTAACAATTAGCAGAGTTCTTGAGGCTCTGTGCCACAGAAAGTATCTAGAATATCTAGCGCACGCCCCCAATCCCAATCGGGAGGGGAGGTAAAGCAAGGGGGAAAACCGAGAAAGATAGAGAAGGGAAAATCAATTTCCACGACAAACATTGCAAATGAGAATCGCAACGAAACGAAACTGTCGCGTCGCGTCGCGTCTCTCAGCTGGCAAAGTTTCATGTTAATTGAAAAGCCAAAGAATAGAGGTGGCTGAAATTGCAACGAATCTTGTCTATTTATAACGTCAAGGAGCGGGGCATGGCGAAGATATCGCGGTCATTACGTCACTCGATGAATATTGCATTTGATCTTTGAAATTATGATTACCGAACCAAGCCACTTTTGCAGAGTGCCAAGCACTTTACATACCTTCTCGACACTCGCAGAAAGAAAGCCATTTCACCTGCTTATCAGTTCAGTGCAATCTAGATGATATATATAGGGTACGTCGGTACCCCCTGAAACCCCCCAGTACAGAATGATGGGGTAGGGAGAGCGAGTGACTTCATTGGGGATGAGAACGAACGCTGATAGTAATCAGGCACACTACTACTACTACTCGCCCGTCGTACATTTTCTCTTTTATTACTGATTCTGCACTAAACAAAAACAATGCCCGGCCGCCGTCAGTGTTATTATTATTTAACAGAGCCGGTTTGCTCTTGACTTGAACATTTGATTTAATCATCAACCAAGGCAGGGGTGTTCGCGGGTGCGAGCCTCAAATGTTTTAAAACAACCGCAAGATGAGAGCGAAATGAACTAGAGCAGCGGCCACGTCGTGTGGGGGACACGGGATACCCTAACAAAAGATCTGCACAAAAGCGAATTCCTGCACTCTTTTGATAGCTAATCAACCCCATCAGAGATGGTATGGTACCACCACATACATACATATATACAATGAGGCTTGATTCAAAACGAGGTCAAATGCAGAGCAACCACAACAGCAGCAGCAGCCGCAGCAGCAGCACGAGCTCATATGGCTGATAACTTTTATCGCAGTCGGCTGTATCTGTATCTCTATCTGATGGATACCTACACAATGCTGGACAAAAGGGAGGTAAGGGTAAGGGTATAGCGCAAAGGCACTAGGCACTAGACACCGGGCAGAGCATTAGGAACAATTAAAAGCTGCACTCAGCCGCCATGTGGGTGGGTGCTTCGTGGCTCGTCACAGTTGTAGGTCGTTAAACCGACTGGAGAGCCATGCCCATGCCCGCAACAATGAAGCATTCAACATCCTGGCGGCCTCAGCGGCTGAGACTGAGCTGAGCCCTCTTCAGACAGGCTTAATAGCCCACCATCCAACCTTGCGTTGCGGCGCGAGCGGGTTCAAAGAGCGGCTGAGCAAACAGATCATACAAAAAACAAAACCTGGGAATTCTATTTGCATAATTTCCTACGTGAGAGCACGACATGAGCTGGCGGTGCATGTTGGCCTGACATAATCGTAATCGTAGCCATCAATGTCCTGGGGTGTGCCGGTACACACACGCCTCCCTCTAATTGAGAGATACATATATCCAATGTGCAACTAGAATGCCGGGCCGTGCCCCTTTTCTCCGTGAACTTTTCCTAATTGATTTTCTAAGACAAACACGGCGTATGCGTATGCGTAATGCGGTGTGAAGTCCCTTCTGTGCAAAGTCCGTATCCGTGTCCGGGGCCTCACCTTTTTGCTCCTGATTAGCGCGCTCTGGGCCCGTTGCAGGCACCTGCTTGGATGGCTCTGGTTTCTGTTGTTGCTGCTGCTGCTGCTGTTGTTGCTGTTGTTGGGGTGGTGGTGGTTGCTGCTGTGGTGCTGGAGGTTGTATTGGTGGTGCTGCTTCCTGTTGCAGCTGCTGCTTCGGCTGGACCGGCAGAGATGGAGGCTGGGCATCCAACACAGAGCTTTTCTCCATGACATCCGCCATATTGAAAGTTAACCGAGTGTTTGTCTGTGTATGTGTTTATTTGTGTGTGTATGTTTTCTCTATCTGTGTATGCCTCCTTGTCGGTCGGTGGCTGCACTCACAGGAAAGGACTTTCCACTCTTTATATGTGGGCGATTTTCGTGTGTATCTTTGAGATATTCTGTGTTTCACTTTTGCACCGTGCACTTTTCTTTTTCTTGGAATGCTTCCTTTCTTATTGCGGCCTCGAGGGTAGCGCACTGAAAATCGGTCACAGAAATTGCACTATATATAATATATACCCGTATTTCGACTGGGACTTGAGTGTGCAATCACTTCACTGGCACTTTTCTATTTTATTTGGATTTTTGCTATTGCAAAATTGAGAGGCGCAGCACAGCACAGCACACCGCACGTTCACGTTCGCTGTTTTGTATCTTTTGGGTTTGTTATCTCGCTTTCAACTGATTTTCAATACGGTGAAATTTTCTAACAGGACGGAGCTTTGAGAGAGCTTTTGATGTTACTTCACTGTTAACACTCTAAAACTTTCATGTCATGTAACATGTAATGTAATGTATATTTAATGTATATATACATAGACATAACACCAGTGTAAGTAAAATAAAGTGGCCATACTTTCCGTTTCATTTCATTTGGCGCCCATACTATTTTCAAACATATTAAGTTCATATTTAATATATGAACGATTATTATCGGAGCAGGGCAGATTGTGTGGCTTAATGATGTGGTTCGCACGCCCGACAATATCTGCTTTGACTATGCCTGTCCTGCTGTATCACAGTGGTGCTCCAGAGGAACTGCTTAGAAAAAAACTGAACTGATCAGAAGAAGATTAAAATGGGGTTCAGCTATCCCATGCTTTGTTGCAGCTTGGCTTTCCAGTTGAACTGGACTCAGAGCAGCGGCAGAGATGCTCGATTGTGTGTTGGATAACATACCGAATCGAGACTGGAGACGAGTACCTGCACTAATTTTCTCTTTCATGCTATCTCTGTCTTTTCAGCCTCCATTTTGTTTCACTGTTTCATCCAAATCCACCTTTTCCATAATTAAATGACTAAATTATCATTGTGCTTGTCCCTTTTGGTAGGGGCTTCACAAACTATTCATAGTGTTTATTTAAATACATTGGACTTATTTCACTTTGAAATATTCAGTGTGGTAACCTCTGAAGTGTCGACCTCAGGGTGGCTGCAGGTAGCAGCTGCCTCATTTCGTTTCAGGTAGCAAGTTGCAGTTTCCTAAACATTATTGTATTTGCTATTTGATTTATTTGCGTCTCATAAGGAATAATAATTAACTATTGTTTTGGGCTTGTAAAAGCAACAAAGTGAATAACAAAATAATGTGCACAGAAACTTAATATTTTTTTCAGTTTTTTTTCGTTATTTTATAATTTAAATTTTTTTTATTTTTTAAAAAATAATATTATCTTGAAGTTCAATTGCAGTTGTAGTAGCAGAAGTAAAATTTAATTAAAATAATATACGAGAGAGAGATAGAGAGAGTTAGCGATGAATATAACATCTATGGAGAATGGTTGTTGCTATAAATCTGTTGGTGTTGTTTCAGTTGTTGTTGATTGGATGTCGGTCTCAACAACTCATTTCATTCATTTCATATTCACTTCAACATATCTGGTCTTTCACACATTCTGGCGAGGAATGCTGTGGAGTAGAGGGGCAGAGAAGATAGTGGATTAGCAGGCGATCATCAGCATTATCGATTGCATGTGCACGTCCAGACATCGAGACATCATCAGACATCTGGTGGACAGACATCAATACAATACATTCAGTACTTACTGTTTAGTCGAAGACGACGGGATCGCTCATCAGGCGCTGGATGAACTCTGTGCGTATCGGATCGACGATTCACGGGAAACACGGGATACAGGACACGCAAACACGGATGCCATTCGGGAATTGGTTTTGGTTGTGGACATGGAAACATGGACACGCATACAGAGAACACATTTGTCGGGATTCAGGTGGTTTCATAATGGTGCATTGTGCATGGTGCATAGTGCAGTGTGGTTGGGAGAGTGAGTGGTTTGTGCGCAGAGAAAACGAATTGCATGTGGAAAATACAAATAACATTTACGATTCACGTTAACAAAGAGTAACACATTGACCTTGGGCGTGGGGCCTCGGCCAGAGGGGACTGCTACACAAATACTTACGAGAGTAGGGGATCAATCCCTCATCGTCCTCGGGATCCATGCAGTCAGCGAACAGAGTCTCAACCTGCTCGTCATCCAAGCTCTCACCTAACGGTTCGCAAGAAAAGTGGAAATAAGTGGGTGTCTTTTGTGGGTTTGCGTTTTAGCAGCTACTCACCAAGCGCCAGCAGGGCGTGCTGCAGCTCAGCGAGCATCATGGTGCCGTTCTCCTCCTTGTCGTAGAGCTTCAAGCACTCAATGAAGTCCTCGTAGCAGCCCTGCTCCTTCTCCTTCTTGACCTGTGAGTAAATGGGCAGGAATTCGTCCATCTTGATCTTCTTCTCGTTGCGCTTCTTGGTGCCACCCATTTTCTCGATCAGAGCCAAGGTGGGGTTCAAGTTCAGGGCACGCAGAGCATCGCCTAGATCGACGGCATCAATGCCCTCGCCGGCGGAACCCATGACTTCGAACACGAATTCGACATCTGCACAAGACATACATTTTATTAGCACACATCATCATCAACATCGAAGGCAAACCCAAATCGCATCAAATGGAAATTGTTATTATTATTTAGTTGATTATTTATTTATTTATTGATTGATTGATTTAAAAATATTTTAGGGCTGGGAAGGCGTCGACACTTCTCGCTAATGGGGTCGACTATGTGGTAACCCTGAAATTTCTGGTACGCACATTTTTGGTCATCATGAAAATCTTTGACATGGCCGAGAGCATTAGTTACTGCCTATATGTGCGTGCCAGTGAAGGTGTGTGCATGTGTGTGTGTTTCTGGGAGCATTGCCAACATGAAGAACACACTACGTATACGTAATCCGACACCCGTACCGAACGAACGCCTTCGCCATCGTCTATGTATATATGTATGGTTGCATATGTATGCACACACAGCTACATATTTTTCTCCTCTATTTCTCTCTTTTTCTCTTCGTGCGTTTTGAACGAAAATAAATCTCGAGAAATAACTTAGCCAAAATTAGATCTCTGAACGAGCAGCAGTGCTATACGCCTTTGGGATCTCGAACATACACACACACACGCACACACACACACACGATTTTCCATTGTATTTTCTTTTAAAACATAACTTTGCACTAGATTTTCCCGATCCGATTTTGGGGTTTTTTCGCTGTTGGCAACATTCTGTTGTTCCGATTGCTGTCTTCTCTGTTCATCGTTCAAGTGCCGTCAATCGGGGCGATGGCGATTTCGACGGTGATGAAAATAGCACAATTGATGCATATAGAAATTCCTGAATGAAAATTTTCCGCAACACGTTATGTATACGTATGCATATGTACATAGGCTCGTATGTATATGTGATATTCCAAGTGATTACGAAATATGTTCACTGATTTTTATTGCGTACTTTTTGTTGTTTTATCTACATATATTATGTGTATCCCCGATCTCACACGCGCACATTATGCAATCAATTTGTGATAGGTAGATTGATCACAGGAGAAACGAGTTTTTTCCGAGTGATTGCTGAATATTACATTTTATATGGCGTTTTAATCCTTTCTGTGGGTGCCGATTCCCGAATGATTTAATATTTATAGTAACTGTTTGGTTTATTTTTTGATCGATTGTGGTTTGAGGTTAAAGATAATCCTTTTTCTGTGCGGTTCAACTTACTTTCAATTTCACGCTTGGGAACATCAGCCTGTCAATGGAGTTGAGGAGGATACAAATTGCGAGAGTTTTGCATTAGTTGGTGCTGGGATAATTCCATTCAATATTCTATCTTCTGCCTAGATTTATCTCTAATATGTGCAGAGTCTCTGGCTGGTATATGCACTCACCATTTTGTCTGTTGGATGCGAAAAGCAACTGTATCGCGGATGAGCTCGGTCTCGACTGAACGTTATTCGTCAGCGGCAGTACGGCAAGGTAATTCTGAGGTGATAGCCAAGCAGCATATCGCCACACGCACACATAGATATGCACCCATACATAGATACATAGATACACGCATAGGCACAGCACAGCACAGCGAAACAAAATGACGAAATTCTGTTCTCCTGCGCACACATTCCCATGCCACATGGGAAGACCTATCTATGAGCACGTCTGTGTGGATGTGTGGATATGTGGCTATGTAGGATGGGATGGCAAGAATTTACTTTCATCTTGAGAACTTTTTCTAATGCCCTCGCCAATGCTCTTTCACTCTCCCAGCAGCGACCACTATGTGTAGATATATGTATATGTATATGTCGGGGCTCTCCCATGGAGCTGTTTGTTGTGCTCTCTATAAACAGGCTATTTTTAAGAATTTGTGTTGTTTTTTTCGGTGAATTTTAGTTGTTGTTTCGCTCGTGAAGGCAAAATAATAATCGGTAGTGGCATTCCCAGCCGGATAGTGTTGAATATCATTCGATGTTACAGATGATTTTGCAGATAATATTTTGGGCAACATATGTACGATTCGATTCGATTCGTTGTAGGGATACACTGCGCAATAGATTAGTGGAAGAGCACCCGGGCGGACGGGGGAGTGGGGGAGGAGAGGCGGACGGGAGGAGAAACCTACACATGTCTTTGGCACATATGTACGTATGTATATATTTATACACTCATCGACCCTGATCGTCTTTTTGGCGCAAACCCCGAAACTTATTTCTCAGGTCTTTCTTGCGTGTTATCATTAGAAAATGTTTTGTCAGTCGGTCGGGGGTGTTAAATGGCCGATTCCTTCTGGTTCTGGCGGTCGCAACACCTGAAAGTCTTTTCAATATTTATACATTTTCCAAAATGTTCCCAATATACCACCTCTCTCGCTCCCACTCGTTCTCGTTCGTTGGGGCTGGGGCTGGGGCTAGTGCTGGGACTCTCATCTACATAGAAGGCGCCTTGCCTTACTGGCCCCCTCACTGAGGCAGTCGGCAGGCAGGCCGTCCCAACGTCTCTGCAACAGTTTAATGCGTGCTATTTATATAAACTATGACACAGATACACAAAATGTATTCAGAGCAAAAATGTACAGCAACAAATACCCGTATTCGTTCGGAATTGTTTGCGTGGGTACATACTCGCAAAACGGGGCACATAGTCGTAGTAGAACCCCAGTCCCAGCCTGGTCCAAAGGGTAAAAAGGCACTTAAAAAGGCTCAAAATCTGACAAGGAAAAACAATTAACACTATATATATACTACGGGCCATTGGCATGACATGACTCGTCATCGTCGCAGTCTTTGTCCTTGTCCTTGACATTCAATCCCTTTGGTTTCGAGACGGGCCCTTCTTTGACCCAGTTCTGGGGTTCAGCTGTTGGCCAACTTTTGGCCATCTCCCATCATTCACTCTCTCTCTCTCTATTTGTTTGTCTGGCTTCCTGCCTCTCTTTCTATTGATGCTTCGGCTCGGCTTTTGGCCGCGCAGCCTCCCTGGCTTTGTTTGTGTTATTACTCCTTGGAGCCAGCCACCTGTTGCCTTTGGGGGGTAATTGCTGCACTCAAATTTGGTCCAGAGTGTAGTCCCTAATCAAACAGCTGTTATCATCAGCCGATGGCTGAGGGCATTCCTGCGCAGATGAAAGTGCGCATTCATTGATAAATCATCCATCCCATTCCACTGGGGATGTTTGGCCAACTAGGATTCGGAGGAATTACAATAGCAAGGGTAGAATTAAAGGTGGCAAGTAAAGATTCCTCCTATTTTTGCCTCCTATAGTATTCATTTCAAGTATGAGCCGACCAGGACAACCCATAGAAAGAAACTATCTTTTCTTTGCCTTTTATGTGTCCCTTTTCGGCTGTATTTTTCTTTATCCCAATTCGAGCAGCACTTCAACTGCCGCTTAAGTACAACATCGATATCGACTGACGCACCCTCGAAGCCTGGCGATGGCAACACAATGGCACTGTCATTTAATGATACCCGTACATAAATCGACATAAATGTGTCTGGTCGGACGTTACGACGTATACGCAATATCCACCCCCAGACGTTTGTTATCATCGACAAGTGTGCCAAACGAACAGGGTGATGCAGTCAAGGAGCGGATTCCCATAAATGGCAGCCCCTGCAAAGACACCCTCTATGTGGGGGCAGCCCTTTTCGGAATTCCCATAGCATGAAGCGCGGGTGGTGGTTCTGTATGTATGGGAATATCCTGTATACGCACTGTTGCCTCTTCTTCTGCTGCTGCTGCTGCTGCTGTCGGCACTGGCAACGACGGATACGAGGATAACAACGACGGGGAGCACGGCCCAGAGACCAGAGTCCTCGTCAGTTAACGACGCTCGTCTCAGTTGCATCCGAACGCTCCAGCCGTAAACGTTATCGAAACTGGCCACGCGTAAATCAAGGTAAAGTACATGGAAAAACTCTGAAAACTATAACTGCAGAGGAAAAGTAGGGGAAAACTACACACAAATTGAAATCAAAAGTAAGAAAAGTGCTGGATAAACACCAGTGCTCGGAAGCTATCCATAAAAACCGTTTGCAATTAGTAAACGTCCAAAGGCCAAGCCCTTTGTTGCGGTTCTAACGTGGGTGCGGCCCCAATCAAGCCAAATGTTGGCATAAAAGACATCATTTGATTTGAGTGTGTGCCAAGTGCTAAACAATTGCCCTTTGAGCATCAATTAAAATGGGAAAATCCACAATTTTCACCCATCATCTCAAGCGTTATATAAGTCTGTGAAAATTTTTGCCCCAAATTAGCATGTATACCAAAAACCCAATTCTGTATCTATAACCCAGTCGCCTCGTTCTCGCCGCTGCGGCGGAGTCTGCGTTCTGCGCAGCGTCCCAGGACCAGCTGGCGAAGGACCGAAATCTCTGTGCGGCTCAAGAGATTGGGAGAGGAGGTTGGGCGGCTGGGTTGCGGGTAGATGGGGATGTGGCACTGACCTACTCGTGGCCTGTGGGGGCAGCAACAGCAACAGCACCAGACGAGCCTGCGCACGCAAATACCTGTTGCGTTGCCCCTGCTGCTGGCATGCTAATGCCACATTTTCATGAATGAGTCGCCATCAGCGGCGCAGCTGTTGCATGCCAATTGATTTGTGTATGTCCTTGTGCTTGTGCCATTCCAGCCGGGCCACCATGGTGACCACCAATGCCGGCGCAACGGCAACAGCCACAACCAACAACAACAACCTGCAGACGAACAACAACAGTCATGCGGCGAACAACAATAACGATGACTTTGACTTTGACCAGGACGATGGCCTGCAGGACCTGGGCTTGCCGGTGTCCGTCCAGACATTCCTGTGGCGCCAAATAGCCCCATTCATCCGGCCAAAGCTCGGAAAACTGCACGAATCTACCTGCCTGGTGAGTGTCCGATGTGTGGTGTGCCCAGCGAATGGCAAGGTCAAAGTCCAATTCGGAGAGCGAGCCACATGATCGACGAAGGGCAGGCACACCGAGGGTGTGCGTGTGGTGTGCCCCATAAAGTTATTCTGAAAACTGTGCTGTAAATTCGCTATGCGTGTTTGTTGTAAGGATGATGGACTGTGTAACATAATCCAAAAAACCCAATTGGCATTAACAATTCGAGACCAGAAAATATGTACCTTATTCGATGTTCTCTCGTTTTTGATTTTCTCAGCTAAATTCAAGGAAAAAATTGATAAACGAAAAAACTTGACATTGATGTTTGATGTATTCTTATTCTTTCCTGCATTCGATATGATATACTTTCTTATAACTATGATACTAACACGACCACCTTCTTCCACAAACCAAACAACATCAACAAGAACAGTCCTATCTTCAATATATACTCGTACTAACAGACAGGGAATGTTTCTGAGGGGACCGACCAACCCAACGCTTTATAGGCTGTCCAAAGAAACATTTCCTGTGCTGTATGTATGTATGTTAATCTACAATATATGTTTACTATGTGCCTTTCCCCACAAAAAAACAAACGACAAACCACTATAACATTAACAACAAACTGTACAAATTAACATTGTAAAATCTTTCGCAATTTGTCTGAATCTGAATGTAGTTTTGTCAACATGCACCGGGACACCATGTAAGTTATAAATGTCTCTGCCAGACATACAACCCCTTATATAACTCTAGTCCTTGTTAGCCCAATCTACAGATGAATTAGGGATGAAATCTCCAAGATTCCAGATCACCCAGATCTCTGTACATTGAGTTGACTTGAGTTGACCCCATTTTCCTTTTGCTTTCAATTGTAGATGTTGTGCGTTTCTTGTGCCTATGATTAAGATTTATGTTTGTGTTTGAAAGCCATTATTTTGCTATACTGTAGATAGTCTTGGCATAACCCTAACATGTATTGCCAGTCTTACCTCATAATGAATCTTTTCTCACCCGCCGCCCAACCTGTCGATGCTAAGGAGTCGAAGGAAGCCTGCAAGGTAGGTGGCAGAGAATACTTATCATCCTGGCGTGTTTAATTAATGATCAACATGTCCATTTCAGTCCTTTGAGAAAGTGCTCGTGCAGAATATTCAGTTTGGTCTCTCGCCGCCCCTTACTAAGGCCCTGGGGGCCATTCCACGCTGGCGTCTGCTGCAGGGCGCCCTGCCACATGTAATGCACGCTTGCGCCGCCCTGCTCTACAATCGGGTGAAGGATATGCAGGCCATTGGGCCTGTGGAGACCAAACTGCTATACACGATGCAGTGGATCCTGCTCTATGCGGCTGAGGAGTGTGCCGACGACGAGGGCGGCGAGGAGCTCGGTCTGGGCGAGACGCCGGCGGAGCCCAAGTCGAAGCCCATAGAGCAGTACCTATTTTCAGTGCCAACGATTGCAGTAAGTGCAATGCCAAGTACTAATGCCAAACACCGTCTAATTTCCATAATTTTCCCTTTCCCTTTCAGCTCTTTGTGTATCTGTTTGCACCAATCATAAGCCACCTCAAGGAATCGGATTTCCAAAACTTTCGCCTGGAGAACGGCATAAAGCTGTGGCAAGGCATGTGGGATAATCGGGCACCGGGAGCTCCGTGCTTTACGGCCCCGGTAAAGCCCAAGGCCCGCAATCTGCTCTGTGCGCCAACTCCCAAAGGATCCACCGATGTGTTTCCCACACGAAAGCACTCCCTCAGTGCCGATGCAATGTCCCCCAAAGCCGACTCACCACAGAGCGGCATCTCTGACTATGGAAGGCAGGACGAGGAGGTAAGACCGGTGGGGAATATGGGGCAGGACGATCCACTAATGCATTCGACTTTCATCTAGGGCTCTTGGGTATCCTCTCCCAAGGAATTTGCTTTTCCCGAGACCATTCCAGAAGAGGCCTCCAGCGTGGAAGACGAACGTGTCGTAATATTTAGGCTGCCATCAGCGCCGCAACTCATGGATAATTCATTTTTTACGGTACGGAAACTAGTCAATACCTTATCCTCACATAAGCTATATATTCTTTATTCCAGGCCGACGCTAGCCTTCTGCAACAGCAACAATCGCAGAGTCGTCGAGGCAGTCGACAGTCCATGAACTCGCGCGACAAGGACAAAATTCCCTCCACAAAATTCGAGTTCGATCAGCAGGAGCTGATGCGCGGGGCATCGATGAAGGAGAAGCGCAGTGCCTCCATCGAGAAGGAGACGGACTCGGATAAGTCCGAAAGTGTTAAGGCAGATGTTTCGGCAGCCACCTTCCTCGATGTGGCAGTGCTGCGTTGCCTCTTCATCTCGCACTGGCAGGAGGAGGGCATCTTCTGGAGCTTGCAATATCTATATAATCGGTAAGAATATTCAAACGTTCCTCTTGATATACATATATAGACATATGTTTCTCACTTTTTTCATGGCAGTCTCAGTGATATTGGTGAGGAGGCGGCCATTACCTTAAATCAGCCCCGGAAGCGATCCAATTCCTTGCCCATACCACAAATCGAGATATCGCTGTATCAGGGTCCCGGGAGCAACAGTCGCGACAGTCCGGGCAGCTCTGTGGTCAAGGACTACATCGAAATACCAGAGCCATCGCCGACAGTGACAGCTGTTGTTGGTAAGTACATTTTGGAGATTAACTCAGATCGATAGTCACTAATATTCCTCCTTTGCAGAAGAACCCCCCACTGCAACCAGCAGCTCAGAGCGTCGCGGAAGCGAGAAAAAGAAGCGCGTCAAGATGTCCGATCTGCGGACCTTTGTCGAGACGAAAATGTTTTCGAAATCGGAGAAGAACTTGGAAAAAGTAGGGCTAGATACAAACTCTGCCAATGGCAAGACACCACTGCAACTGCAACAAGCAGTAAGCCCAAGCCAAACCTGATGTTTTGTTTGCTGTTACTGTTCTTACAATAAGTGTTTTCCTGCCTGGCCACCCACGCCTAAAACCCACCCATACATAACCTCAATAATCGTATGAATATGCCCCCAATGTCACTGCTGTTTGTTTGGCTTTATTGAGAGTTGTCTGTTTTACTCATACCGTGCTTATTATCACATTTTCTTATATACTCCCCTAATGGTTACACTTTCATTCAATCCCCTTAGGAGTACCATCGCAGCCTGGACACGGGGGAGAAGAAACTATCACGCTCTGCATCCATGATCAGTCGCGAACCAGCCAGTAACCTGATCAAGGGAAAATCCATGCCAAGTCTCAGGTAACTACACGAATCCTCCCTCTGTAAGCCCACCTCAAAAACATAAACGACTCTTGGAACAGGCCTATGACACCAGAACACCAGAACACAAAAAAACACTCCCACACTCCACCACAATAGATTCTCAACAATTTCTCATAATCTTCAGAGACTTGTTCTGTGTTCTTAAGCTAATGCTACTATATATTCTATACCTTATGTACTACAACTTTCTCTTATGATCAACCAGCTGTCTGCTTGATAGCGGGTGAGTTTTCGTCCACTAAACAGATAATGCTTAACCTCCTCCGATCTGTCAATCTGTGTACACATTTGTATCTATCAAAGTGCTTCTACACCTATATCACCCTTTCCGCAATTTTCAAATGTATGCCTTTTATGCCTGCTTACCTCTGGCACCACCTGTCTTTGCCTGCCTCTTTCTCACCACCACCCGAACCCCCAACCCCCAGCTTTTCCTCTCTTTTGACCCTTAAGCTTGCCGCACTTTGGTTTGACTAATGCCACACACACAATTTCTCGCACGTCTGCTACAAAATGCAAGATTTTACAGATACGTAGAGCCACCTAAGGCCCCAAGACCTTCGCAGGTGGCATGTCCACGCTCCACGGCATTCTATCCACGGAATCCCATCATTACGGTGACAGAACACACTCCGACACCGTCGCCGGACTACATCAAGCGACAGGTAAATATCCAATGGACATATATCTCTTTTATAGAATCTAATTTCTAATGTCGACAGGGTTCCATTGATTCCCAGCTGGATGCGTTGAGCAATGGTGGCAGCATCGGTGGCATGGGTGGAAATGGCGGGGGCAATGGGAGTGGTGGCGCTGGTAGCTCCACTACCCGGTATCGTGGCCAAATGTTGCGCTCCCACACAGACTCGCACATCGATTATACGGGCGTAGATGAGTCCGAGGCACCCGGCTCCTCCTTTTACATAACGCGGGATGGCGGCATTGACTACGAGATCATCTTGCTGGCCATAAGCAATGTGTTTAAGCGCGATCCGGCTTTGGTCTGCTCTCTCCGCGTCCTGGAAGCGGGCCTGAACATCTGCGAACTTCTCATCGAGATGGGGGTCCTGAAGCTGGGAGAGCATGCTCATGAGATATCCATGAGCATCACACGACGAGCTCTCCAGGTGCTTGGCTGTCCACATGGTTGCAATGACGGTGAGTAGTTCCAGATATATTTTCTATATCCTCACATTAATTTAATCCATTAGGTGTTCGCGGTCCTCCGGCTGACTTTCTGCGCAATCAGTGCCAGAAGATCCTGTCACGAATGCTGCGCCAGGCCGGACAGCGCACCAAGCGATACATGCAGGAGATGGTCAGGACATCGCCACTCCCAGAGCTGATTGACTACTTCCATGCCTTCCTGGCCTTCTGTGTGGATCCCAGCTCCCTGTTGTCGCCATTAAGTGAGTGTCCTGCGTTTTTAACCATTAGCTAGCCGAATTTCTTAGCAAAACTGCAAATGCGGGGCTGGCTTGGATTTGCATCCAATGTAGGCGCACCCAAAAACCCCTATCCAAAACTCTAAAATCGTACAAGTCTCCTGAGTTCCATTGGCCATTTTGTGTTGGGCTGCCTCCTGCCTCCTGTTATCTCCCCTATCTTTCTATCCTTTGTTTGGTTTGCTCTTGGACTGGCTTGTATCTTGACCCTATTGCCCCGCTGTTCCCTCTTCTTGCATGCCACGACTTTGCTAATGCTTTTGAGTTGTCCTTCCTTCCTTACTCCTCCTTACTGTCACCACCAATACTCGTACGTTGTATATATGTGTATGTATGAAATGATGCAAATAGCTCATAAACGTCAGAGTGGATATAAAAATGTTAACACCGATCTTGGCGGCGTACCAGGTCAGGGCGGCTATTCGACAAATTTTAGTGGTGGCATGAACAGCGGCGCCGAGTCCCAAGTCGTTGGCGCTGTCTTCAAGCCGCTGGTCAGCCGCTTTGTGGAGGCAAGCAAAGATCTAAAATCGCCAGAGAATATCGCCCTATATGGCGACATCCGGCAGTTCGTAACCTACGTGAAGGGGGCTCATGGTGGACCATTCCGTATGGTGGCCCTTAGCGGTATACTAGCCGTCACACCGCGTCCCCACAAAAAGGGACCGACGGCCCAGACCACTCGTGTGATAAGGTGAGATCCGTATTCATAAATCTATAAAGCATGATTGATTCTGTAATCCACCTTCTTTTCAGACACATTCCACAGTCGAATGTGACGCACAGCATCCAGAACGATGACAATCGCTCCCAGCGCCGTTTACTGCTGAAGAAACGGAGCACTTCATCGGCCTGCGCGGTAGTGAGTGATGGCCAAGGCGCTGATATTTATGACTAATCCCCCGAATTGTCATTGCAGAGCCTGCTGGAGACGGAGACCTGCGAAGAGCACTACAAGACCAGCCAATCGCCGTTGAGCAACTTCCGGCGTCGCACCACCGGGGTGCGACCGACGCTGACGCCACGACACAGTGAGCGTGCGCTGCTCTCCGATTCCACGTCCAGCTCGGAACGCAATTCGTTGGGACGGCTCAGCGGCTTGGTGCGCTGGTTTCGCGGCACGCCCAAGGAGGCATCGTCCATTGATCTGGAGATTGGCTCACTGAATCCAGAGATATCCTCCACATTTATGAGGCACGCCTCGCTGAAGATACAGCGGGGACGGTCTAGCGATGGCATTGGCCGTTCCATACAGCGCGCCAAGCGACGTGTCGAGAGGCGGCTGAACCGTTTCGGCGGCATTGTGAAGGGCAAGAAGAAGGTGGGTGGCATCGAAGAGACAGCGGACTTCAGTCGGCGCAGCTCCTCGGATATGTGCGACGGACCCCGCGAGTCCGAGGTGGTCATTCTCAAGGAACGGAAGCTGGTGCCCACTGAGCCAGTGCGGGTGGGCATGCTGCGGCTCTCCTTCCTCCTAGAGACATGTGCACCCGGCTCGTTTCCCGATCCCCAGCTGGTGGCTGCCGTCCTGGATTTGGTAAGTCTTGGCAGACTCAATCCTTGACGACTCCCCAAACTGATATTAAAACTTTGTTTCCATATTAGCCTCAAGCTCCTTTGGTCTCGCGCGCCACTTTCCTGCTGGAATGCGCGCACTTTGTGCATCTGTGCAACAAGGGTCAATGGCCCGCCTGGATGAAGCAGAACGTTGGCAGCTATCGGGCGTCGGGGGCCAACATCAATGTGAATCAGCTGAAGCAGCAAGTAAGCCAGACCAGTGCCCGGCGTACCCACATCCTGCAGCGGGCCGCTGGCAAAATGTTTCACCAATGGGCGGAGATGGTGGGCGCTCGTCTAGAGGAAATACTCTTCACCGAGCGACTGCAGTACGAGGCGGTTAATGCCAGCCTGACCGATCCCGAGAAACAGAGGGAGCTGCTGCAGCAGGACGAAGAGGAGGACTTCCTTGATGAGACATCCGTGAATCCGCACGGGAATGACTGTCCGCATTCGCTGAAACTGATTGCTTGCGTACTGCTCTTCGAGATTACGGCCTTTCTGCGAGACACTTACATAATGCTGCCGAAGACATCGAAGCTGATACATCGGGACAAGCCAGCACCTTGGGAGAAGGTCTACCGCGAGGCGAATCGTCGCTGGTCCATGGCCCTAAGCTCCATGGGTCACTCGCAGACTTCGGCCCAGAGCCTGCAGTCCATCGCAGCGGGAAACGATGGCGCCGGTCAATCGGAACGGAAGATTTCGTTTGTGCTCCACGAGCCAGACAACGAGTCGGAGAACAGCAGCAACACCACCTTAACCAAGGAGGGAGAAGAAGGTAATCAAATCAAACTGAACCCCTACGTTCCCCTACTAAGTTATCCATTCCACCAGCACCTCGTCGCCCTGCTGCTGCGTCTGCCGTGCGTCCGTTTTTGCTGCGCCGAGGCACGGCAACGACCACGGGCGGATCCTTCAAGCGTCGCTCCCTGAAGCTGCGTCGCAACACAAAGGACAGCAAGGAAATAGAAACAGACTGTAAGTATAACCAATAGACAACTATTCTCCAGATATTCACACCCCTTACCATTCCTCTTTGAAGTTAACACGCAATCCCGACGCAAGGTCTCGTCGCTCTCTGACCGCAGCGACACCTCGGAACAGGGAATGATTAGTGGCGGTGAGGAGTCCCCGGGCATCCTCAGCGACGACCAGCAGCCCGAGTCGCCAACGGACTCCAATGAAAACGATGATACGGCAAAGAATATGCCCTGGCTCAAGGCAGTCATCGAGATGATGTCCAGCTACAATTACTACTGCACCCACAAGGGATATTGTCATCCGTTCTGCTACAAGCGACACATGCGGTCCTGCACACGACTAATAAAAGCCACAAGAAAGGTGAGATTAGAGATGGTGTTCAAACGGAACATTTCTTTAATGGAATTCCCCTAATGCCCTAACAGGTCTATGGAGAAGAATTCGGCTTTACCTTTGATGCAGACCATCCTACGGTGGAGCCCACAGTCATTAGCTCCAGCAAGCCGCACACCTCGCGGGCCCGCTCCACGCGCAAAGTATCCGAGCAAAGCTCAACGCAAACATCTCCGTCCAAGCGCAAGGATAGCTTGTCCCGCAAGGATCGGTATGGAATGATGTTGTAAGACAAGTCTAGACCTCATTTTGGTTCTCGTTTCTGTAGCATCAGCGATGATCCTGACCTGGAAATGGCGGAAAAACTGGCGAAGGCTTTCCGCCAGGAGAAGGAAAAAAAGCTGCAGGAGGAACCACCGATCTTGAAGTTTATTCGGATCCACATACGCAACCTGTTTCACTTTCCACTGGCCACCCTGCTGAAGGGTGCCGTTGTCCTCACCGAGGAGATGGTGATTGAGGCAATGCCCGCAGCTTGGGAGCTATTGCTGGAGACCAATCACGACACGGCCACATCGAGTGCTGCCGTATTCCTGATGGGCTCCGTGAAGGCACAGAATTTCGCCTTCGATATCATGCAAAGAGCCTTGAAGCACAGGGATCCGGATATACGCATTGGCGCCATTCAGCGCTATCTGGTGCTCTGGAAGTGCCGCTTCCATGTGTGGCCTCGCATGGAGGATAACGCACACGATGTTACCTTTAAGGTGCCACCGGGCGGCATTGAATTCACATTGCCGTCGCCGAAAATTGGAATCGAAAGCCTGCCGGTGGTGGATCCCCCCTGGATGCCCGTGCAGCAGACCAAAGATATGGACGTGACGCTCAACCAAGACAGACATGTGAGTGAGAAGGCTGCAGTAACACTGGGCTATGTAGGAAACGGGAGGGAATCTTTTATGGCCACTAAATAATTTATTTACTTTACAGCGCTCCTTGGTCACCGCCACGAAGAGCCGCAAAATGCAGCAGACGGAGGCCATACGGAATGCCCTGCGCCAGCAGCGGGACAAACAGCGAGCCGAGAGGCACAGCTTCCTCATCACCATGATACCGATCAGTCAGCAAGCCTCACATGAACCTGGCATGGAAAAATTGGAGGACCATGAGGATCAAGAGGAACTCGATGGCACACGAATGTCGTCGCACCTCCATCACTCCCATTCGCTCTTTCCCTCCGTACTGTGCTCGTCCGTTATGCAGATTGTGGGCTGCCTGGACGATGCTGCCATTGGATCGGATGGTAATGCAGTCTACGAGATTGCCTACCAGGTGATTTGGGTGTGCCTTGTCGAGGAATCGGCTCTTTTCCTGCGCTATGTGTTTGAGCGCCTGACCCGCGATCGACAGGACCAGATGTTCAAGCTGCTGCGACACCTCATACGCTTTGTGCCACGTCTGCCCCAGCAGGCGGCCTTTGCCCTCTACAACTCTATCATTGGATACATCATGTTCTATGTGCGCTCGTCCAACGACCTGAAGCAGGAGCTCGTGGGATCAGCCCTTTCTGTGCTCTGGATGGTGGTGCACTCTGTCCACGGCATCATGTTCAAGGATTTGAAGCAAATTCTGCGCAAGGAGCAGTGCGATGCCTCCATTTTGCTTACCGCAAATGTGCCTGCTGCCAAGAAGATTGTGGTACACGGACCTGCTGATGACGATTACAATATACCCTCGCAATTTCCAGTACAAGAGGATACACTGTTCTGCCAGTTGTTGAAGGAGGCCCTGGACTATTATCCCATTGATGAGAAGAATACTAGCCATTACTGTCTAGTGGATTATAAGAGCAGTAAGTTTTCATTTAATTGAAGTTGTCCAGCTCATTTTAATTTTCTTTCATTCTTGTATGCTAGGCAAAATCCTCAATCCCAATTGGTACATAAGGGACTTGTATTTTTTCAAGCGATCGCAGTATCCAGAAGTTCGTCTAATGCTAATGCGTCCCGAAGAGTCCTTCCTGGCTCTGCAGAAACAGGAGTTGTCGAAAAAGTTCGTTGAGATCGGCAAAGTGCATCTGACTTGGGCCATTCTCAAGAATGTGGACATGGTGGTGCAACGTGTTGTCTTCCTGCACGAGGAGCTAATGAAGCTGCCCTCCTTCCCTCGGAAGGCACTAGAGGTGGACCTGGATCTGCACCACGGCGGCGAGTATGGCAAGGTGCTGCTCGGCCTGGATGTTTTGCACAAGTTTATGTGGGTTCGTCTGATAGCCCGCATGTTCGAGGCCATGGCTGGTAATTTCGCATACTCGGCGGACATACAGCTCTTCCTCAATGTGCTCTCTGGCGCCTCCATCCTCCACGCCGAGGATTCATGCATAATGCGCTATGTGATGGCTACATTCATCAACGCTGCTTTCAACTTTAAGAACATATTCTCCACGAATGGGTACTTTATGATTATGCCCACACTTCTGCAAGTTTATTCCCTCCATCAAACCAACAAACTAATCACGACGACCATCGAATACGCTGTAAAACAGTTTTACCTCCTCAACAGAAAGCCCTTCATTCTGCAAATGTTCGGCTCCGTTTCAGCCATACTCGATACGGACGAGGATGGCACCTACGGAGAGGCGCATAAGGTGCAGTCTAGCTGCCTTTTCAATTTATTGCTCAGCCTGGAGGATCCTTCACCAGATCCACTCAACATTGCGGAGCTGGTCAAGGAGCCCAAGCCCCTGAAAGCGATTGACTTTTGTTATCATGATGAAGATGACGATGTTACGGTATTGGACTGCATCACGCTCTGTGTGATGGTCGTCTCCTACTCGGCGGAGAGCACTCGTGGCTATCAAATGCTTGTGAGTACTCACTGAAGTCTCCCCAATCCTGTCTTCATTGCATTGTGTTGCTCTTTCAGATCATTCTGGAGGCCATTCTGCCTTGCTATCTGCAACAGATTCAATCGCCCAGCTACATTCCACTTCAGGGCAAGTCCGAACGCGACATCATCTTGCAATTGGCTGTGGCCATTCGCACCATGGTTCACAACTGCGAAGGCCTGGCCAAGAGCTACAATGGACCCTATCGCAATAGTCCCGAGCACAAGGGATCCTCACAACGAAACTGCAGCCGAGGACCGCCCTGTTCACCTGGTCTTGACTTTGAGGAGGAGTCGCATCCAAAGTATGTGACAGATGCTCGTACCAAGAATATGATGGATTCTGCTGAGGATTCCGAAATGATACGCACTGAATATCGGCGACCTCGTGATGTGCTGCTTTCCGTTGTGGCGGATTTTCTAACCAAATCCACGGCCCGTCTGGCAGAGCTGGCAAAAAAGATGCCTGCCGACACGAAGCCTACTGAGGTCCTGGACGCCAAGTGTCACATACGTCTCGCAGACATCGCTCACTCGCTGCTAAAGGTATCACCCTATGATCCAGAGTCGATGGCCTGTCGTGGGCTCCAACGTTACATGCAGGCTGTGCTGCCTCGGGCGGAATGGTCAAACGACACCTTGCGCAATGCTCTGGTCACTATACTACGGCGCATCGATAAGGTGTTCCTCAAAATATCGAAGAAACCATCGATTCGACGGAACACGGACTGGGAGGCGGCTGCCGGACTACTGAAAGGCATTCACGAGACGATTATCCGCCATTCCTATGTTTTGCACTGGCAGCAGATGAAGACTCTGATTAACACCGTGCAGAATCTGATCGTAAATGAGCCCGGCTCTGGCATTCCCGAGGGCGTCTCCAGTGCAGGGGCAGCGCTCATGTCTCAGAATCCGCCGGCCTTTTTCTGCTCGGCCGTGGTGCGTCTGGTGGCCCTACAGGTGGTCAGCCCCGTGGACTGTTTCTCTCTTGTCCAAATATGCGGAGGCAGCGCCGAGTTTGCCACGCAGGAAAAGGCCGAGGGATTTCTGATGCATCTGATCATGCCGCTGTGTCTGAAGGTCTGTTCGGGACGCGGCGTTTCGGATGTTGGCGAGCTGAAGATGACCGATGTAACCTTCCTGCTCACCGCCGTCCTCAATGCAATGAGTCCCCCAGCGGGACGAACGGGTCAGGCTGTGTCCCAGATCAATCGAGTCACGGGAGATCTGCGAGCCGGCTCTCTTACCTTCACCGGCAGCCGTGATGCCAAGCGTCCAGCACGCATTTCCGGCTCTCTCTATCAAGCGGCCTTCTTGGCCCTGCGCATCGTGTGCATCTGCTTTGAGAATCGCCTGTCTACCGAGTGGCCTCGCATTGTACGGGTGATGCGGGATCTAGGCAGACGAAACGAAGCTGCTCCCGATCTATGGAGCTTCATGGAGTTCGTAGTCACCCACCGCACGCCACTCTACATTGTTCTATTGCCATTTATTATGCATAAGGTAAGGATTAAACGTTGAAGTTTGAACGGATTGTAGCTTCCCATCTCCTACAGATCTCACAGCCTCCCATCGGCGATCACGAGCGACACATGCAGTTCATCATTAGAGAGCGTCTGCGCGGAACACCACCACAAGGCGGCATCAAGTCCAAGGGAGCCCTGCTGCTGGAGCTGGCCAGAGAGTTGCGCGACCTGCGTGACGAACTGGAGGAGAAGCGATATGGTAAGTCTATGTGGTGGCCGCTGACAGTTTCCACACATCCGCTTATGTTTCAGTCTCCACAGATCGCGAGAGCTCCGAGCAAAAGAAGAGCGACACACCGGCGGCCACCAGTGCGGCAGATGCCCACAAGTCCCAGCAAAGACCTTCACTTATATCTATCTTCACAGGGACAACAACCGGCCAGGCCACCCACTCACATGTCTCCGCTGTACCAATCGACTCACGCAGCGGCTCCGGCGGCATCTGCACGCCCAGCGATACGTTGTCACAGCAAACACTGCACCCGCCCCGAGAGTCATTGTCCAGCAGCTCAACGGGACGAGATCCACACACCACAACAAGCGAGAGTCAGAGCGGGGATGGAGAGGCAGGATCAGCGCCGACACTGGTTGGCGCAGCGCCCAGTGGTTCAGGCCATGGTACTTCCGGGACGGCATCTGCTTTGCCCTCGCACATGTCCCACTCTCAGTCGCTTCAGCAGCCGCCATTTAAAGCCCAGCCACCAAAGCTGCGCTTCGTTTCGTCTGTGGAATTCAGGCACTCTTCGGGAGAGACATCGACCACCCCGCTGTCGCCCGAGAGTCCTGCCGAAGATAGCTCGGGTGATCATACACGTTCACGTCTACAGCGCTCGAAGGCTGCCAGTCGCAAGACCTTCAGGCTAAAGCGCAGTCGGCTTACGCCTATGGAGCCACCAAGCATCGTAAGCCGATCCAAAATCTCTAATCCTAATCTGTAACCTTACATTAAATAATTTGAAAGGTTACATCGCTGTCCCAAGAGGAGCAACAGCCTCAGGCCCAGCCCAAGGCAATTGGTGAGATATCCTGGGACTCGGTGTCGCAGACATCCTCCACATCTGGCTACCGGGACAATAATAGCTTGCAGACGGGTCTGCTCTCGCCGGATGGCTCATTGGGCGGTCTAACTCTGGGCCGCTCCCCATCGCAGCACTCACTTTTAATGGTGTTCGAGGGACAGGACGAAGACACACTTATTTAACAATCACAGAATGGCGACCGGGCCTACGAACTCTAGTGACTAGCGTGACTTTCAGACACACAATTAGCACGAATTTGAGATAGAATAGTACTCGTATAATATAATATATGTATGAATATGTGTTGGGTAGTTGGATGTTAAGTTTTATAGACGAATCGCTGTTTTCCAATTTGTGCCCCCTTTTGTACATGATGAATTACCTTAAAATGTTAATAAATAAACACGGTAGCCGTTCTATGTATCTCCGTTCTTTTTCTGAGCCGCAGACAATGTCTTCACACGATTCTCCTTTACCATCTTGCGCCACTCCAGCCACTTGGCCATCTCCGGCTGATCACTGTTGCCATTCTGTGTCTCTAGTTGCATGTAGTAGGCCTCGCGCAATATCTTAAAGGCCTGGATGCTGTAATATGGCTGTTGTGTGACCGGATCAAAGTAGCGAGCTGGCAGTCTGGTGATGGGACAAATGCCGCTAGTGGGTTTGGGCGGAGGCTTGGGTCGGCTAATCGATTGGAACACCTTGTCGTTGAAGTCGTTCTCGATGGTGACGAATGTGCGCTCACACTTGGAGGCTGGATCGTTTGGATCATGCGGTAAGGTAGTTGCCCGAGTGGGCTTCCGCATCACCGGCATAGTCAACGAATGGTAACGTATTGTAGCCCCATTAAAAGTGCGCTTGGTGGGGCGTGTTTTCTTTTTCTCCAATTCCATTTTCTGAAATTTCTCTACAATTATGAATGAATACTCAATTATTGTAGCTTCAGCAGATAATTTAAAGACATACCAAGGGAAAGGATGTTCTCCTCTTCGGTTATTTTTGCCTCCTCCAGGAGTTCTTCCTGTGTGGGCATGTAATCCTCAACGCGAACCTTCTTTTTCTTGCGCTTCCGTGCATCGTCCAATTCCTTGAGGCGTTTCTTTGTGGCCTGTGTTTTGATAGCCGTCGATGTGCGTATGGACTTGCGACCCGAGTCGAGAACAGTAAAGCGCGGCCGCACTCTACGTTTGACCATACCGCCTCCACCGCGCTTTTTATGCAGTGCCGGTACGGATTTTGTCTCCTTTTTGGCAGCAGGTGGCGGCTCCTGTAAGGAAAGCCTTGTTACAAAACAATATAAATGTACGAAATTTGAGGAATCGCACCTTGTAAGCCTTTGTATTGACGCCGCCTCGTTTCCGCTTCTTCTCTGTCGGCTCTTCTTGGTCGGATACCGGCTCATCCTGCTCATCAATACTGAAGTCTGAATCAACCACATCGTCCTCTTCGTCTTTTTGTCTTAAATATGGATTTGAGATGATACTATGGTCGGATGTATGCCAAGGGCGGGAGACTCACTCATATTCCTTGTCCTCTCCTTCCTCCTGGAATCCACCGTAAGTGGTTTTGTAGAAATCATCCTCCTCTTCCTCGTCCAGAAGTGTGGCTATGCGGTTTCCAGCATTGTTGCGCCTGGCTCTCGAGGCAGCCATTTTTATATTTTACGAGATAACTTAACTTTTGAGACCTATGTGTAGCTAGAAATTGCCAAGTCAAAGAATAGAAGTTTGTTGTTATAGTTGTTGTCTCGTCGATGAAGTCGTGTTTTGTAAATAAAAACGAGCTTAGCCCACTTAAGCCCCCTTTATTTAATTAGGTGAACACCTTGAGGGAAACGGCGAAAAATGGTACTGGTTGTAAATTCTTCGTGCAGATCCATTCCACCCTAACCTCCTTTTTTCAATTACAAAAACTATGACTACGATATTTTACAACTGATCTGCGCTAAATCTATTAAATATTCATTATTTTCGGTGGAATATTAAAATACCCCCTTGGTCTACAATGGGTTAATCAGTCTCCGTCAAGAATTGGAAACTATATTCCTCGTTTTTGATATTCGATTTGATATTACTAGCTAGATAGAACCCTCAGCCCTGAATACATAACATTATCCGAATGACGAATTAATTTTCTATATGACTAGCCAATTTTAAGTCCTCATAATACGCTGAATTCATCGATTCTTAGCATTTAATCATGGAGTTTTTATTTCACAGAAAACAAACATGAACGACGAAAATATCGAGTGAGATGGGCATGGTCATACTATTAAACATCGTATCGACGATAGAATGCCTATAATGGCCTGTGTAGAGCACCAAAAAGTCGCTTATACTCGAAAATGACGATCTGCCGCTGCGCTGCTCGAGATCTCCTACAAAAATAGGTGCATAGATTTCTCTCGCATTCTCTCGTATTTACTTTCCCCATAGTTGGTCTGACTGGCTTGACCTGAAGTGTAAAGGCATGCGTGGTTTTAATTACTTAATTAAATTAACTAGAATATTTCTTTTAAAAAGGGCAACTAGAAAATCTTTTATCGTCAAATGCGACTCTCTTGTAGAACATTTCTCGGAGCGAGAGCAGAGCAGCAAAAAGTTGTCTATACCCGAACCTTTATGCTGCTGCCGGCCGCTGCTTGGTCGTTGGACCTGTTGTTGGATCAAATCTGATTGCACTTTGGACTTTCTCTGGCTTTTCGACGCGAAACGGTGACAGTGTATTTACTTTTTAAAGCAAACGGTTTAAAAATTAGCACACACCCAACATGATCAACTCGGGAAAGCTAGCAGGGCGCACCCTCTTCATTACGGGAGCCTCGAGAGGAATCGGCAAGGAAATTGCCTTGAAGGCGGCTCGTGATGGTGCTAACATTGTGGTGGCGGCCAAGACAGCCGAGCCACATCCAAAGCTGCCCGGCACCATTTACTCAGCGGCCGAGGAGATCGAGAAAGCCGGCGGACGGGCCCACCCCTGCATTGTCGATGTTCGCGATGAGGTCCAGGTTCGGACCGCCATTCAGGAGGCAGTGGCCAAATTCGGGGGCATCGACATTGTCGTCAACAATGTGTGTATATATGATACTACTATCTCTTAAATCAGAGGGCATATCACCACGATTTTTAATAATTTTTCAGGCTAGTGCGATCTCCCTGACCAACACACCCAATACAGATATGAAGCGGTACGACCTTATGCACAACATTAACACCAGGGGAACCTTCTTGGTGTCCAAGGAGTGCCTGCCGTACTTGAAGAAGAGCAACCACGCCCACATACTCAACATCTCGCCACCGCTGAGCATGCTGCCAAAGTGGTTTGGTCCGCATGTGGCCTATACGATGGCCAAGTACGGCATGTCCATGTGTGTTTTGGGAATGGCAGAGGAGTTTAAAAACGATGGCATTGCCGTCAACGCGCTCTGGCCCCGCACTGCTATTCTGACTGCTGCCATTGAAATGCTTACTGGTTCTGAATCGGCCCAGTGGTCGCGCAAGCCCGAGATCATGGCTGATGCCGCCTATGCCATTCTGTCGAGAGAGCCCAAGCAATTTACTGGTCAATTCTTTGTCGATGATGAAGTTCTTGAAGCAGCCGGGATCAAAGATCTCAAGCGCTACGCCTGCGTGCCCGAGAACGCTGACAACCTAATGGTTGACTTCTTTGTGGAGGCCAAGGGAGCGACAACTGAAACACTAGCTGCTACAGCTGGTGCATCCACTCCCACTGCAGGCAGTGATAGCGGCAAAATACCTCAACTGTTCCAGAAGATTGAATCTCTTCTATCTACCGAGATTGTCTCCAAGACGCAGGCCGTCTTCCAGTTCAACATTAGCGGCGCTGAGCAGGGAACCTGGTACTTGGACTTGAAAAATGGTTCAGGCTCCTGCGGCTCCGGCACACCACCAGCCACTCCCGACGCAACGCTCACGATGAACTCGACGAACTTTTTCGACATGTTTTCGGGAAAATTAAAGGCAGCACCAGCCTACATGACTGGCAAGCTAAAGATTAGCGGAGATTTCCAGAAGGCCCTCAAGCTGGAGAAGCTCATGAAGGCGCTCAAGTCAAAGTTGTAGGAATTGCCCAATTGCATTTCATATTCCATAACTATATATTCACATTTATATCTGACCCGTGCATGTTTTCAATAAAGTCTGAACCCTATTACCTATGGTTGAGAGACCCATTTATTATTTTGAATTGCACACGTCTGGAACCGTTTTTGAATTCATTATCCATTATCTTAATACGTACAAACAAATTATTGCTCAAACTAGAAAAACATTTTTGCTGTTGATATACTTCAATTAAACTCTAATTATCTTTTAACAAAAACAAAAGAAACCCCCGCAAACGAAAATTGAAATGGAATTTGGTCCAGATGCAATATCTTGGTTTTGGATAGACTTTGTTTACACATATGGTTCAAATCTATTCTTAATCGATATACCCGTGAAAAAGCGATAGCGTGCCGGTGCTGACCAGTGCTGACGATTTTGCTTTTTCCCGTCAGATCGGTCGTTTTTTGAAGGCCAACTGCGGCTAATCCCGTAGAGCTAAATGAGCTAATGGAAATACTGTTAAAAACATTAAGCGTCACTTCAATAAAAACTTGTTAAAACCATTAATTAAGCAATTTTCCTGAAACTTTTCAGCTTTTTTTCAAGTTACAAACAGTATTTTTCCTGTTGAAAAGTTGGCAGCACTGGTGCTGATAGATATTTGCAAATCTATTTTCTTGCAAACATATTGTTTCTATTTTGTTCCTATCCACCCTGCATACAGTTTATAGCTGTAGGCTCTCCTTATCGTGAAGGGTGAATACTGAGCATTAGCTTCGATATGGCGAGTTGTTCCTATAAGGTACGTCTATATGCAATTGACAGAGCGCCAACGTGTTGATTAATCATGGCAAAAAAAACAGGAAAAGGTCGTGAGACTGGTCAAGTGCTTCTGCGGATGCAGTGACATGACCGTCGAGGAAGTGCACCGCATCTACACGCTGACAAACAGTGTCCACGAAACACTACTAGATGCCGAGGCCACAAAGCTGCTGCGCCGTTTCATGGAGCTGAGACGGTCCGGCGACAAAAACGAGGCTGAACAATATTTGGAAATCTATGAAAAGTGTGCGGAATTTCTGCAGGAGGAACAACGTACTTTTACCCAGGATGAAGTGGACGAACTCTGTGATTTGGGGCTTCCCTATGACTTGGAGCAGGATCTGTCCAAACGCATGCTCAGCGGTCAACGTACGGACATAAGTCTCGGTCTTTATCGCATCCAGGGCAAATGCCGCAACGAGATTGAGGCCAGCAGCGACTTTCGAGATTTCCGAGACGCCATACGGGACAAGATGCGGCGAGTTCCGAAATGATATATTTGGGAAATCCACAAGCTACAATTGGTGCTTCTTGTGTTCATATTACTACGTACATACCAAAGTCAAAATGGTACCTTTTAGAACCGCACTAAACCTCGTCGTCTATTTAGTTAGCAGTGCCTTGATGCCCTCCACAATCTCCCCATCACACTAATCTTAACTCACCCACATTTCGTGTCTTCGTGCAACGGACCGAAACGCGTCCCACAACTTCAGCGACAAGCAATGCAATTGTGACTTGCATAAGTGCTAGCTAATAAAATGCCTCATAAAAATTCGCATCACAAATAGAACAACGAACAAAGTTATCTGTTGACTTACGAGTAAATGTATTTTTTATTTAGTTTAGTTCTTTATATATTCTTGTTGAGCACTATTGCTACAAAACTATGTATATTTCTAGTTCCGAAATAAACGACTTAATACTAAAGTGCTCTTAGAGTACCCCTCTTAGGTTTTCTTCCATGAGTAATACATTTCCATAGGCTTGTTCACCTGCAATTCGAGACAAAGAAGGATACAGATTAGCAAAAGATTCGATTATGATATACATGCTGCTTGATTGGCTACTTACCTTCCAGAACTTATCGTTGACCTGATGCAACGTCTGGTTGCCATTCAGAATGACCAACTGCTGTGGCTGGGGAGCGACATAGATGCAAAAGTTGAGCAGGCGGCACGCTTCCGGCAGATCGGCACCCAAGTCAAGGGTCAGGCGCATGGCCAGATACTTGCTGAGATGATCCACAGTTGCATTGGCTGTGGTCTTGATGTAACGCACGCAGTTCTCCTTGAGCGCCCTAATCAATTGGTTATCGGCAGACATCTCTGTGGGATGCGGCTTGAAGACCAGTTCGATTTCATCATTGATGCCCAGTTCACCGTTGCCCTCGCCCTCCGTGTCGATGGAGTCGCCCTCTGTGCGACAATCCATCTGAGAGTCTGACTCAGACTCTTCGGACCGCTCCGAGGTCAGCACGGACATAGCACGCTTGGGCTTGGAACTGCTTGAATTGGATGGAACTGGCGAAGGTGTGCTCCGCACTGAGGGAGGATTCGAGGCATCGTCCACCTGCATACGGTTCGCGGATGTGCTGGCGCCAGTAGTGGCCGATGAGGTGGCAGGCGCCACATTCGAGGTGCTGGTATTCGCCGAAGTTGCTGAAGTTCCAGAGTGCCCGGGATCCCGATTTTCGCGATCGATGCTGTTCGTGTTGCTGTTGCTGTCATTGGACGCTGTATCGTGGACATTTAATTGATTAGAGGCATTGCGACCCACGCCAGAACCAACAGCGCTACCCCCAACCACGCCTGCCCCACCACCACCACCACCACCATTACCATTGCCACCGCCTCCTCCTCCGGCTCCGCCGCTGCCCTTGGTGCGGAAGCGCTGTGGTCGATTTTGAGACTGCAGCTTGATGCCCTCGTTGATCGAGTTGACCAAGGCCTGCTGGGACTGCGTTTGATTGAACTTCGCCATCACCTTCTCCTGAATGGCCTCGTACTCCTCACGACTGGGATAGATCTTCGAGATGAGCAAATCAAAGTTGGGGTCGGCGCGCAGGGAGCGCTTGGAAACGAGTTTCTTCCGGCATGTTGGGCACTCCTTGTTTCCGGACCGCAGTGCGGTCACAATGCAGTCCGAGCAGAAGCGATGCAAGCACTCCTTAGTAGTCATCGTCTTCTTCAGCATATCCAAGCAAATGGGACACATTAGCTCGCTGTGGAGACTCCGGGGGGATACTGCTATCTCCGTGCTGTCTGTGATTATCTCCTGCGGCTTGCGCTGCAGCTCGTAAAGGGATAATTCCCATGTCTTGTTTGGCGCCGGATCCAACGACGTCATTTTTACACCAATTCTGAGGCTTTTTAATAATTTATTTTATTCTTTTCTAGAAATTTTCGCTCAATTGTTAAAACTTGATGTTATCGAAGCTATCGAAATTTAGCTCACTAAAGCCCCCTTTATTTAAACAGGATATCACCTTTGATTTAAGTTTCGAAAATAATAAAAATAATAATAAAATGCACTCTTGAAGGTCTTATACCTTATCTTTACTTAAAAAAAGACCACGATATCTAACAAAACTGTGCTAAAATTATTCAATTTTCGTCTACAATGGGTTAATCGGTCTTGTCTATGATCGGAAATCATATAAAGTTTTAACACTTACGTGCCACCAACAAATAATGGCATATTTTCTTTTTGCCGAAATCATTTTCCGGGAGTGAAATTTATTCATGTTCCGAAATGTGCAGTGAAGCGGAAGGATGTGAACTTGTGAAAAATGAGGAAATGGTTGAGGCCGGCAACCTTAACAAAAAAAAATATCATGCAAAGCCAGAAGCAACGTTTGCTTGCAATTTCAAAATTATTAATAATAAAACTATTAAAAAAACATCACGTCTTCGTATTAAATTAGGAAATTTTAAGCCCAACGGGCCTGATATGGGTTAATCGACATAAACATATGCCAACATACCTCATTCACACTCACTATACAATGTGCCTTTCACTCGCACTTATTGCTTGCATACGTTAAGGGACTGACTTTTGCCGACAAGACCACCTTGTATAATTCCATCATCGTCCTGATGGATGGATTAAATTAATCCGTGTATTAACGTACTCAATTCCTGCTGCATTCCAAATTAATCAATATAATTAATATTAAAAAAACGTAAATCAAACTTAAATTAATTCGTTAGACTAATTAAATTCGTCTAGACAGGGCGGGCATACGTTTTCTGGTAACAAATCCCCTTGCCGAAGCACGTACCCGGTACTTTCCGCAATCATTGCAGCAATATAAATAAAAATTTCAGCAGCTCTGTTTGGAAGTTGATTGGGAGTATCACTCGCTTTGTTTCCTGGTGCTCATTTTTTGGTCTCTCCATTTTGTATTGTGTAATTTTAGTCTACAACGATTTAAAATTCGAATTACGATTTGAAATATGTCTAGGCGCGAACTACTTTTTATTGCCATTCATTGCTTTTTAGGGTTGCATTTGAAAACCATCGGCTAACTATCGCATAGAAACGTGTGGTTTAGGAACATCCCAGACGGATGGTGGAATAACTGGCAAGACCTTCCATCCCCGAAATGATGGAAAGAAAAGAGTTTAAAAATATATTTTATATTTTTCTAGACTGGCTCATATATAAAAAAACGAATTTTTGTGGGATATATCATTAACGGAACTTTTTTTATGAATTTGGAGCCACAACTATTTGCTGCAGAATTTTCGAATTAAAGCTATATGTATTGCTTCAAAATTTTTTAAAAATAATGCAAAAAAAATCAAATAGCTAAAATGATTTGATCTTTAAAAATGCTGACATCCTCATTCTTTAGCGGGCCCCAAAATATTATTCCATATTTCGAGGATTTATAGATTGTTTGCGGTTGTTCTTCTTTGAATTGGGATTTTGAAATGTTTTCACAACACGAGAGTTGCTACTGTATGGTATTAATCTGCCAAATCCTTTTCGGTTGACAATCCGTCAACACCTCAATTTCCACGAGTTTTCTTGCGGCTGTCAATCACTGGAGGAGCAACTGCAGGAGGAGACGGAGACACTTACCAGAACCCGCCAAATATGGCTTAAATGCAGAATTGCCGTTACCTAAATTGCAGTCGCCCGTCGCCAGGAATTCAGCAGTTGTTGGTGTCTTAGTGGCAGTGCTGTGTGTGGGGCCGAGAATGCATCAAGTTGGGTTGACTGTTAATTGAATTAGAGGCTCGCCGCCGCCGCCGCCGCCGCCGCCGCCGCTGCCACGCGAAATTGACAACTGCATGGCTCTTTAAGTCTGCATGCGACGACAATGACCCTCGAGTGGTAGCCGGGAGCAGCATTCCATTAGTTTTTGAATCGCGTGCTCTAGACCTCAAACCACGAGACGATTTTTCCCAAGCCAAAGGTTTTTCCCGGCTTTGCATGGCGATGCCAGTTCGTCACTCAAGCGCGATTACCGCCGCGTCCCACTCACCTGTCTGTCACATTGGTTGCGCATGCGCGGTGCCCAGCGGGTGACGTGGCACTTAACTAACAGAGACCTTAGGAAAAGGCCGCCGCCGACCGGGACAGCGGTGAAAATGCTGGACGGACATGTGTGGCATGGCTAAAAACGAAATGGTATATTTGTCATATCACACGGGGTGTTTGCTGCTGCAGGAGCAAGAGCAGGCGTTGCCACTTTCAAATTCCTCATTAGATCGGCTAATTATCGTGTGCCCCATGGAGGTGTGCCCCGATTTTCGCTCCCCACCAAATTGCTGCCTCATGGCAGCAGCCCCATAATTGCAGCCTCCATGGGGTCTGCCTGGTCTGCCTGGTCTGCCTGCCTGGGCAATTTTCAACTTATCGAGGTTATCCTCCGCTGCACAGCGATCACTTGACCAGAAACAGCACCAGTTGAACTTCTGCTCCCACACGACGCTTGCGGATCATAGATGTGGCCCATGGCTGTTGCCGTTTCCAGAGATGCTGCCGCTGTCCTCAATTCTATTCGGTTGGGGTACGTGCAGGTTCACGACCCACATAGCCCCTCCTCTGTGGCTCTCTCCTTTCAAGCTTTCTTGAATGATTTCAGCATTTTCCAGGCATTTGCCGGCATCTATTGACATTAATCATTGGCAGACTCTTGTAAAAATTTGCAAGTACAAGTCAGGTACTTCTGGGAAATGATTGGCTTTCGGCATGCTTTTTTATGGCAGCTTTATGAACAGTCGTCGACTAACATAAAGGAATTCTCTCTTTTCGATTTGTTCCCCCCCCCCATGTTTGCTGGTGGGGCATCCCAGGGAATGAATGCAGGAATGGATACTGGGTACTGGGACTTCTCGTTCTTGTGTGTGGGTCCCAACTCAATCATTTGGCGCTAGACCGGAAGGAAGCAGACGCCATTTAGCTGTTGTTTTTGTTGCACTTTTGTTGTCTGCGCCATTTTTGTTGGGTGTCTGTTTTTGTAAAAGTCTGCGCATTGTCAGCCATTGTCCCAGGAGTTCAAGTGAAAGTTTTCCAAGGCAACGCTTTATAGAACGAACGAACGTAAAGCGTAACTCTAACGTTGCCTAATTGGGCATAACGACCTGAACATGAAGGGGGGCGTGGACTTTGGATGTGGGCCTGGAATTGGGATTCGGGCACTTAAAGCAGTAAGCAGGCCAGATTGCAGCCCCAGCCCTGCTCCAAATTGCGGTATGAGTAGATCGCAACATGCCACTTAGCCTCCAACTCAAAATCGTAGGCCAAAATCAATGAAACTGAACGGATTGCAATGGGCAATGGGGACCTGGTTTTTGGGGTTAGAGAACAGCACACATTCCAGGCAATAGAGCAGACAGTTAGAATGTCACCCACACACACAATCAGAGGTAGAGTCAGAGTCAGAGTCAGACTCAGATACAGGCACACATACTCGTACATCACCTGCAATTGCAATCTGTTAACTTGTCCAACAACAGCAGAAACTTCCACTGCCACTGCCACTGCCACTCATAGCCAACAATTGACAATAACAAGCAGGCGGCGTCCGCCCAATTTTCAACCCAAACCAAACCGTTGGCCGACTCTTTGTGCTCCTGCTGCTGAAGTGCCTCTCTGGCCACCGCACAACAACATTGAAAGCAACAGCAACATTGGCGATAACAAGAGCGAAAGGACAGTTTTTGGGGTCGAAACAAAAGATACCCTTGAAGGTATAGAATTCCTAGAACTACGAGAATATTGAACAAAAATTTGGCTTTAAAATTGGATCTTCTTTTGCCGAAACTTTAGAAACTCCTTTCAGATACATTGTTCTATGGCCGATATATGTATAATATTTAAAACCCAATGTGAGGGCAATACATTCACAATTTTCGCAACAAGAGTTTTGAAAAGATTTCTTAAACACAGAAAGACGTTTGTCCGAATCCAGAACACACACCATAATGAACTATCCTTTCATAGGGTGTTCGAACCGCAGTAACAACAACAACAGCAGCAACACAATTGGAGTTGAGTTCTTCAATTGCCCACTGTCCAAATATTGCCAGAACCCAGGAACGTTGCGCATTGTTTGCTCGTTATTATGGACGTGGCTGTTGATGTGAGCCTGGGAGCGGGAGCTGAGTTTGGGAGTGGGAATGGAACCTGGATGAGGACCACAAATCTTTTGTCTTGGCTCCGCAAAAAACAAAAAAACTCGTAACATAAATAAATCTCAATTAAACTGCAACCCCTTTTTCGAGGGAGGCGTTTCCCATGGCCAGGATAATAATCAATCAGCTAACAAGCGACTGTCGGGGCTACTCCTGGATTCCGTGTGGCTGGTCCCCTTCCCCGATCCATGATTCCCCTGTCAAAGATGTCTCTGGCAGTCACACCCCGAGTTTTCCCCGAGTTTTCGGCTGCCACTCTTTTCTATGCCACGCCATGCGGCACTTGCATGTTTATTATTTGGTTTGGCTTTTAGAAGCCGGCCCGATCCCGACTCAGAAGAGTGGGATAGGTACAGGTAGAGGGCGGAAGAGGAGGAGCAGGAGGAGGGGAGGGTATGGGCCAGGCCAAGTCGCGACGACGTCACAGTCGTTAAGCGTGACTTTTGTTGCTGTTGTTGTTTGTGGTATGCAAAATACCGACGACGGTAGAACGGAACGGGAACGTAAACAAAAAGCCGAACCTCCTCAAGACCAAGTCGAAGTCAAAGTCGAAGCCACTCCACGAACCGAACCCAAAGGCAAAGAAGAAAGAAAAGTCCCTAGAGGTGTTATGGTAAAAACGATCCATGTATGCCCTATAAATGGTCGTATACTCGAAATACAGAGGAAGTTTTACCTCAGACAAATTGATTTGATATTGGAATACATATGGATCTTCGAAGATTTAAATATATACATATACTTTTCAGCGAATAATTTTTGGTTAAATAAAGCTAAGAGCAAGGCTATAAATGAGGAAACAAATTCCTAAATGAAATATATGAATAGATTGCTTTGATAAATCCTCGAATAGTACCTTAAAAACTAGAATACAACTTTTTTATCGATTCATCTATTCATAAGAGGTAAAACTTTTGAAATCAGATCCAATTAATAGTTTTCAATTTCAATCTTAAAGATATACATTGTTCTTTTTCATAACATTATAATTTTATTTGTAAACAAATTAACATTTTGCAAAGGGGAATCAGATCACGGGCTATTCAGGTGAGAGTGTGCCTCCCACAGTTGGTTTAACTAAACAAGTTTTGTCATTGCCACAATGCACGAGCTGCCACAAAGCTGAAATACCCAACATCATCCAGGGAGAGGTGGCTTCGGCAACGTTGGCCGGCCTCGTCCATTCAGTCTTTTGCGAGATTTTATCGTGTGCGGACGTGTCTGCGGGTTTATTTGCAAACTCTTTGGCTATATATCATACGGGTCCCGGATTCCGCATCCCAAAGCTGCACGCGATTCTCATAGATGCATTGGCCAGCCGTTTGGCGCCACAGCCACAAATACAGCCGCACAGATTGGGAGTCGTCGTCTCTGATTTAACTTGCAAACGAAAAAGTGCCAAAACCAAACGAAAACTAAAGAAGAAGTTCAACGAGAGATATGAGTGCAACAATGGTGAGGACATATGCTGCGGCCTGGTTGCTCGGGTAAGTCTGGTGTCTGTATGTCTGTATGTCTGTCTGTCTGTCTGTCTGTGAGGAGGAGTAGGGTCCGGCAGTGTCCGTGGCTTCCTTCCTTTTTAGTTTTATACCAACTTCATCCAGCCCCGCCGCTTCTTCTCGGTCTGGGTGAATGCGTCTGTGCCGGTGAACAAGACCTTCATCTCGAGCTCATCCAAGTCATCGGTCTGCGTGCTGTACTCCTGGCAGCTGGGAAAGGGTAGGGAAATCTATGGATTATTGTGTGTCGGCTGGGTCGCCTCTGAGTCACCTACTCGATGGGCATCCAGAGCCGTGGTAGACTGCAGTGTGGCGCTTTGACAAGCCTTTTGGTATAGGTGAGACCAAAACGACGCTTCCTTGCAGACTCAGAGGCAGTCCTAAGAGCAGAGTGGAGACTATTCGGTTGATTGTAGGAATTTTTATGGTTATGTTTATCGAATGAGTATAGTTATGGAGTTTAAAATCAAGTGTAAATAGTCGTTTAATACCTTCTCAACTGGCATTTGGCCTTAGCCTTGTCCGCCTTTTCCGAAGGAGCCTCCACCACTGGAAGTGTATCCCCGATCTGTTCGCACAACAACTCTGCAACTGGAAGTGTATCCCCGATCTGTTCGCACGACGGCGTGGGTGTGGTCGGTGGCTCTATTAAGCCCTCTTTGTGCCGATCGGCTTCTAATCGTAGCTCCTTCACCTCCATTAGACTGAGCTCCACCAGCTGATTGACTGTGTGCATCATCTCGTTTTCGATGAGGCCAGTTAGGTTTTGAAAGTCTTGGTGGATTACGTTCAAGGCATCCAAGAGCGGCTTCTGTACCTCTGCCTCAACGTATGTGGTCGTGGTCTGGGTGTGCAAGGATCGGTTATTAGTCGTGGTTTGCACGGCCACGCAGTTATTTCCCCGCACTGTCTGGATGCCCACACAGCAGATATCCGGGCTAGTTTGATTGCCATTGTCTCCTGTATTAGGAATCCATTGCGTGGATATGGTATTGCAATTCGGAGCCTGTCCCTGGCTACCGATGGACTTTTGTTCGATGTTTAATGTCTGCTGATAGCTGGAGTACATCAGAATGAGGTCAATCGTGTCCACCTCCACTGTTCTTTGCTCCAATTGACGCGTTTGGCTGCATTTGGGCACCTGGCTCGTTGCCAGTTGAGAGGTTTGGCTGGCTTTGGCCATCTGGATCCTTGGCGACTCTGGGAATTGGCTGGCTTTGTTGTCTTGGATCATGATCGTATCAGATGTTTGGCTGCCTGTGGTTTCTAGAATCGTTTGAGACTCTGGTGCTTGACTGGCCTTAGTCCCTTGGTTCATCGAGGAACAGGGGGTTTGGCTGCCTTTCGTCTCCTGAATGGTTGTCGGATCAGTTTGGCTGCCGTTGGTCTTCTGGATCATAGTTGGATCAATCGTTTGGCTCCCTTTGGTTTCCCGAATCATCACCGGATCAATAGTCTGACTGCCTTTGGTCTTCTGGATCATCGCTGGATCAAGGGTTTGGCTGCTTTTGGTCTTCTGGAATTTCCTAGATTTAAGCGTTTGGGTGCCTCTATTCTTAAAGGTCACTTGTGGTGTTTTCTTCGCCTGCATCAACCGCCGGAGACGCTTTGCAATGCGACTCAACCGACTGGGAGTGCACCTCCTCCTCCTTATGTTTAGAATTGTGAGTAGACCATTCTTCATGGTATAATGCACGGCATATCTGAGGGGGCCGACATGAGTCCATCCGTCCTGGCTTCAAGAACCCCGTTCACACTTACCTCACTTTGCCGCACGGCACTCGCCACTGGCCATGGTGACTGCCGCTTGGACCATCGGCCATGGACTTTGCCAGTAGCTCCTTCAAATCGATTTGTATATTCAGATTGCGTCCCATTTTATCTTATTGGTATTCGCTCAAAGCTCTCAACTTTTCAATTTAGACAAAAAAAATTGATATTTGTTATGTAGGAATATTAGGTTGATGGCTGGCGGAGCTGAACGGAGCTGAACGGAGCTGAACGGAGCTATAATGATATATGACTAAATGGATTCATGGAATTCTAATGAACAACCTACTAAGTTTGCTACTTCCAATCGAATTTTCACACGAAACCCTTTTGTAATTTTGAAATTTGTCTTTAAATATCCAACCCAACACGCAATCTGTGCATCGTTCCCCGTGGCTGCCCAGGTCGGTGGTACCATGTTGTTCCTGCTGTTTGTGTGTATGGCTTGCGGGCTCCTTTGTGCTGGCGATTCATTAATAATTCAAAAATGCCGCATATGTTGCACTCAGGAGTGGTACAGGATGGGGATGGAGGCAGGACGACAGCAGAAGCGACAGCAGCGGCAGCAGCAACAGCAACAAAAATGCATTCACTTATTCTGCAATTTATCAATTCGAAGTTAACATGAAAATGGCCACAAAAACCACAACACAGACACACAGGCACAGAGGATACAAAGGCCATGTGGCAGGAGTCGGAGTCGGAGTCGGAGTTTGAGTCCCTGCCTCGGGTGTTTGGATGAAGTTGGGTCTGGACCTCGGCAGCAGCATGTGGTGGCCACTGCTAAATACGTGTTGATTTGAGCGCCTTTCGATTGGATTTGCAATCCATGCACAAAAACATACAAAAATCGATTGGAGGAGAGAGGATTGGAGCTCCGACCCGGCCCTGCCCGGCCCGGCCTGACCATCCATCAGCGTGCCTCTAATCCCGCCCAGAGGCATGGCTTCCTTTGTGTGCCTTGTGTCTTCCCACTTGGAATTTATGCAGCTTCTCCTTCTAAGGCTCCTCTTTGCATGCATTATGTGGAGTGCGCGACTCAGACCGAGACCGAGGCTCAGAAATGCCATGCACGTCTTGTGGCCTTCGGTTACATTTATTGCATAAAACTTGGCCAATTTCCATTATAATTTGTGTCGACCAGAGACCGCCAAGAGCCAAGAGGCGATTGAAGTACCTCGAAAAAAAAACAAAACGGAAAACTAAAAACGAAGACGCTCCAAGCCAACTGCTTAGTCGGTCAATAACATTTCTTGACTTGACAAAGTATCCAATGAGAAGATCTCTCTTAAGAGGCTCTCGATGGTTCTCTGGGAACAGTTTGTCAAACGCTGACCTAAGACATTCCATGGCATGCCATTCGGAGTGCTGTAAATCGAACACTGAGGGAAAAAAATTGCACCCAGATAAAATATCCAGAATAGAGCGTAGGCCTTTAAGGTTTAAAAACGTATAAATATATCTTATGGATATCTCTTTCTGTTAGATAGATAACCTATACTATAATTACTCATTACTCCTATACACATTTCTATGTGTAGTCTTTTCGCTCAGTGTAGTGCATTATACTACTGATATACTATCCTCCTCAGGCCTCCGTATCAGTGATTGGAACACCCTGGGAGATAGTTAGAACTTGGAATTTCATCTAATGCTCTCACGCCTTCATGGGTTTTCCATTTCCCAGCTCTCCATCTCTGATCGCTCTCCATTTCCCTCACCAAGCTCTCTCTTTCTATCTTCTTTCCTACTCTCTCACTAGTGTGCTGTAATTGTACGTGCTTATTTGCATTTTTATCTGCTTTGTTGTACGCTTTCTTCCGTGCTGGTATCATTACTTGACACTGCCACACCAGAGGAAGCAGAACGGGAACGAGAGCCCAAGAGAACCCCTCTTCCTCGGAAAACCCCCACTGGTCTCTGGGGCAGGCAGTGTCCATCCGTGCGTCCGAAGGTGTACAATTTCAAAGAGGGCGGGACCCTCTGTTAAAGTCATCTCTTGGGTTACACTTTACCCCTCGACAAAAAAAGAGCTAAAAAAAAAAAGAAGAACATAATGAAGACCTGAAGTCCGGGGCACTTGACAAAGCCTGCCGCCTTTGCCGACTGATTGACCCTGAACCCTGTGAAGGAGCAGGAGCAGAAACCGGGAGTAGGGAGCTGGTGGTATGGCGTGCCTGGTGCCTGGTCAGCAGGGTCCAATCAAAACCGCATGGAGCCTAATCCCCTCTAGAATTTCGCACATAAAATACAACAGCAAATAATGCCAGCGTATAAAACGACAGCCATAAAAGTAATTTCATTTTATTTCTGTTCAGATTCTGCTGCCTCGTTTGTCTAGCTGCCGCGGCGCAGGGCAGCAGCAGCAGCAGCAGCAGTCGTTCGGCACTGGCCAAGGATGTGGCGCACATGCACAAAATCAAGAGGCAGCAGCAGGACAAACACCAGCAGACGCTGCAACTGCAACTGCAACAAGGAGTGGCTGTAACAGGGGCCAAGCAGCAGAAGAAGCAGCTGGCCAGAAGCGCACATGGCCTCAATAAGAAGCTCCTCGGGTGAGTAGCCAGTGGAGGCAGGGCAGGGGAGGGGGAATAATGTTGCACGCCTCTTATTTTGGGCTTAATTAAAGCACTGTTTTTGTGCCCGGCACTAAGGCCATAAATTACATAATGAAATATTCATGGAAATACCTCGCTCCCGCTCTCTGCCTGCAACCATCTTCTGCGGCTTGGCGGCTAACCTCTGTTACACTCTCTGTTTGCCTCTTTCCCCTCTGTGTTGCAGCCAAATGGGCTTCATGAAGGTGAAGGCTCCCAACAGCCACAACCGGAAACGTTTGGCCGTTGAGTCACGACGCCATGCCTCGCGCGATGATTCACACATGTTCATCATCAAATTGCCGCCAAATATGCACTACTATGCAGGACCCAATGCCGTGCCACACAATGCACCACCGATCGGCGGCAGCAGCAGCAGCCAAAAAGGCAACGCACCCAAGAAGATGGAAGCGGCGGCAGTGGCAGCAGCCTCGAGAAGATCTGCCACACAAGCCCCGGCCACAGCATCAGCGGCAGCGGCAACCACAACCGCAACGGAGGCGTCGGCGTTGAAAGCTAACGGGAAAAAGGTAAACGGGATTCCATTAGGTTACACCATAGACGCACACAATGCCAGCAATGCACTCGCACTCGCACTCGCACTCGCGTCTCCCTCTTGGCCAGAACTGGCTCGATGGATGGCCAGCCAAGCCACATGGGTTGGCTGGGGGTTTCTGGGTTCTGGGTTCTGGCTCTGATGTTGACTCTCGACTCTGGTTCTGGGCAACTGGTGATAAACATCGGCCGCGCATGCGCATAAAACAAATTGCAAAAGAGAGAGAGAGAGAGATAGAGAGATGCAGTAGAAACCAAAGAAGTTGTCGAAAGAGAGAAGCAGAAAATGGATTACCCATTTGGGCCGATGGCAACAGACATGGGAGACATGGAGACGTGCAGTCATGGTAGTCACCCATATAGACGGGAAATACTTGTAAGTAAAACCAAGACTAAAGTTGGACCTCAGCTGCTGAGCTGCTGAACTGCTGATGATGGCCGACCGACATACAAGCTTCAACTGCAACTGCAACTGCAACTGCAGCTCCCTCTCCAAGCTGCAGTTCCACATAATTTGTTGTATTCCCAAAATGGGTATCTTGGGCAGGCCTATAAATAGCATTGACATAGGGTTTTCCCTCTCTGCTCTCCAGCTGTCATTCTGTCTGTCCACTGGGTATCCCTCAGTCGAGCAAGTGTATGCCGCATTCCCAGTTGTAATACATTGCCTTTTGGCTTGTAGCTGTTGCTGTTGGGGCTTGGGTTTGTTGTGTGTGCAGAATTAATGCGGCAAGTGTCAATGTCAGTGGATGTGGGACAGAAAACAGGGAACATCCAGCAGGCAGGCAACATGTGGATGCTTCCCGAACAGAGGCACGAAAATTATTACGCTCTCACGACTCCTGCTGGAGGTTTGGCTCTTTGGAGTGATGCCACATGAACCAGAAATTAATATGCAAGCCATTAACCAACTCCGAGCTTCAATTAAAAATGCAATTTGTTAGAGTCAGTCCCACAGAGAAGCCACCAGCCACCAACCACCAACCGCCACTAGCCACTAGTCACTGATCACCGTTGAGCCTAATATAGACGCCAGCCAGTCCGTACTCCGTGTCCCGAGCTGATTTATGGGACGCCAGTCTACGAGTCGCGAGTCGCGAGTCCAGTCCAGTCCAGTCCGTGCGTAATGTTGTCTAATCAGTGAGTTTTTCAATTGCAGGTCTCATTTCCCTTCAGCTCGAATGGTCGGCCGGGTCGCATCTACCACTGGAACCTGCCGGTGCTGAAGCAGGCACTGCAGAAGAAGCCGCACTTTGCCCACGTCTCGGCATCAGACCGCAACCGGCTGCTGGACATCGAGAATATACCAACCTGGCGCAAGCCCTGGGAAAATGAGACCATGGAGAAATCAATAACCACCAGCAGCGGCAAGTCCAAGTACAAGAAGTCCCTCAAACCGAAGTCGCCCACATACTATGCCCCCTCGCAGGCGGTCAGCAAGCAGAGTTTCCACAAGTACTTTGCCGGCAATGGGAAGCCCAAGGGCTTCTATGTCATCAAGGAGCACCAGAGCAAGCCGCAGTTCTATCACAACATCATATCATAATCTAATCAGCCCATAGCTCCCCGCCTGGCGGTCATCTATTCCTATTCCCCTATTCTATTTAACTTCTACTTCTACTTTAGAACACTTCCGTCCAGTTTCGACTAGGATTGTAATGGCAATCCTTGTATAATACTCGACCGCATTTGCTGTCCAACAGTTGGGCGTGTGAAATCTATTTTTATAAACGCAAAGAATACAATAACAGCGTCGGGATGGTCCATGGTCCCCACTGCATCAATACCGGGGACGGACAATTCCGAACTGCATTTTAGCTGCTAAGCATCTGCGGAAAGCAATAAATTATGGCAAATATCAATGCTAGGTTTAAGTGCATGTACGATTTTGTTTTGATAAATAAATATTGACTGATTTTTAAATGCATTCAAGGGTCTTTACTACTCCACGACCTCTCCACTGAATCAGACAAAGAAGCGACAAAGAGGCGGTACTGTCTGCTGTCTGTTGTCTGTTGTCTGGGTTCTGTTCCCTGTTCAGTTTGTTGACTTTGACAAAGGT